ATGTGGTCTGCTCAACGGGAGAACGGGAGGGAGGGAGATCTTGAGAGAGCGTGAGAGAGTCAGAGAGCGAGAGAGTGAGTCAGTGAGTGAGCTAGTAAGTGAGTGAGTCAGTGAGCCAGTGAGCCAGTGAGTCAGTGGAGTGGAGTGGAGTGGAGTGGAGTAGAGGCTTAAGTTCGGGCAGGCCTTTGCCGAAGCTAAAGTCCTGCACGACATCGTGACAAAGATTTGTTGCAGGGGGTACGCCTGCGCACGAGATGCAGCGTTTTGTGTGCCCTTGTCAGCCTCCGGACGGAAGGAAGGAACGACAGTGTGAGTGCCAGGCCAAACAGGGAGTCTGTCACCGCAGGCCGCGGCTCTAGACGAGTCTCGAGTTGTCGGGTGGTGGTTGCTGGCCTTCTCGTCACATGCGTGCTCCCAACCTATATTGTGCGGACCTGTATTAGTCCTTAGTCATTCCCATCGTCCCGCGTCCTCGATAGCGTCGCCAACGAATTCCAAAATGCGCCAGACCACCGAAGGCCTTACCACGCTGCAAGAAAAGGAGCTTCGTTTGAGCGCCTGTGGTTTTCGGATCCGGGGGAGAATCTGTTGGGCTAACACTCATCTAGACAAGACTTGGCTAGACGCACTCCGCAGCATGGCAGCTTGGGGTGTAAAGGTTGTAGGATCTGAGGGCGCGACCCGAGGCATCTTGTGAAAACCCAACCCACTTTGCCACTCCGGGTTGTGAGGAGTTATAATCCCTGGGAAAACATGTGGCTATCCGTTGGGCAACCCATCGAAGCGCAGTAGGAAAAATTACATATCAACTGTCACAACTCCAATGCATCTATGCCATCAGGCTTAACAAATTTGCTGTTCGGGAAAATCATGTGCCCTCAATCAAGTTCCGGAAAGGGTTTGTGTGGGTGAGCGGAATCTACTGCTGCGAGGAATTTAAGTATTCAGAAGGGCACGCCGGACGCTCGTTTGTTGTTTACGGGTTGTGTTCATACAAATTAAATACTTAAATCTGGAACCCCCCCTTTGGATCCAATATCCAAGATTGCAGAAAAAAACTTCTTGGATCCATCTTGGATCCGCGGAGCGCAGAGTTCGAGATTTAAGTTTTTTAAATCCTTAAATCTGGGCGCGGCCCTGGGAGCGGATCCAACAAACTTGTTTCTGCAATCTTGGATCTTGGATAAACGGGGAGCCCAGATTTAATTAAAGATTCAAGCTTCTTAAATGTTTGAATCTGGCCCTCCCCGGATCCAAGATCCAAGAATTCAGAAAAAGTTTCTTGGATCCATCTTGGATCCGTAATTCCTTTACATCTTGAAATCTGGGCGGGCGGCCATTGGAGCGGATTCAAGAAACTCTTTTGTGCAATCTTGGATCTTGGATCCACGGGGGGGCCCAGATTAATTCGAAAATAGGACCATTCTGACAAAAATCATAGAAATAGAAAGTGTTCGATTTACGTCTGATGCATTTCCAATATTGGCCGAGCGTTTGTTTTAATTTTGATTTTGACTTATGATTTATTCTTCAGCTTCGACTGTTTCATGTAGTGATCCTGTGTGGAACGAACAAGCGTCCACAGCGTCCTCCTCCCTAGAAATTATTTGACCCTCTTAAATCCGTGTCTTCGGGGCTTGCTCAGGATTTAGCATTATTTTGGCAGTCCTCTACAATGCGCCAAAATTTCGCCCGGAATTGTTTTTGCATTCTTAGCTTTGTACAGGGTAACCAGAGGCCACAGAAAACTCGTGTTAGCAGACCTGAGGCTGGTCGATTTGGGGGGTGTGGGATGAAGCAAGGAGCGATCGGGGGTTGGTTTCCAGGTTTTGGCACCCCTAGTCAACCCCGGCTCTAGGTTAAGCCCTCAACCCTCCTACTGTACCACTACCGTATACTTCTGTCCTACTTCTGTTTTACTATTCCTGTACTGTTGCTGTACTGGTACTGTCCCACAACTGCCACTACAACTGTTACTAAGTTACTACTACTGTACTCAGCCGTACAGCTGCTGTTCTACACCTCTACTACCACTGTACGACGACTGCACTGCGACAGTATTATACTACCTTACTACTACTGTACACCCTTCTGAAAAGCCCATCTGACTCTTCAGGGCCAGGAAGCACCGACTCCACACCTCTCTCTAAAAGACCTTATCTCCCTCTACGTCCCCCACCCGACCCCGGATGGTTGGCGGGAGCATATTACTAAGGCTGGCGGCCACCCCCACTAAGGACCGTGCAACATTAACTGCTATTGCTCCCATGCTACATCATTGGGCACCAGTCGCACTAGCCCTTCAACAACCGGAACCTTTCTACCCGGAGCAGCGGCCCAGCTAGGTCGGACTGTAAGTCGCCGGCAACATGTCGTGCTGGCTGCAGCAGTAGTAAGAAAAGATCATCCTCAGCGCGGGCAGTTCTACCAAAGCACCAGGGCGACATCCCGAGACAGTTGAGATGATCGTTGCTTTAGTCGAGCAGGGTCTCTTAGCACCCGCACTAAAAGCTTGAGAACCTAGGACACATCACATCCAGTCTCCACTCAGGCAAACCTTGCACTTCGCTCTCGCCTCTCTACGTGTTGTCCTTCCGGTTGGACTTACACTTTGATTGACAGCTTGCCGGCAAATTGAGCAAGCCATGACATCTACTCATCTGATCTCATCTGAACTGAAACAGAGCCGTGCGTCTGACCACGCACCAGAGACCTGTCTCAAAGATGGCTACGGCTCAACTTGGGTCACTCTGAAGCCTGAGCTTTGGGCTAGGGCTAGGGGTTTTGGCGGAACCACGGCAGATCCAAACTGCCACTTGCTCAGCGCTTGCATACGGTGACCTTTGCGCGGGTCTTCTCGAGAGCCTGTTGGACATGCAGATGCAGCCGGCCCGTACGCCGCACCTTTATTTCATCAGATAGTCAAGTCCAACAAGTGCCGATCAATGCTGACACATAACAAGCCCACTGTAAAGATCACACCCGACTGGGCTCCAAGATGCTCCAAGTGTGGGACTGTCGTTCGACAGGTTCTCCGAAGTGCCAGTGGCTCGGATGTTGATGTTCGGGCTCTTGCAAGCGACCAGAGATTGTTACAGCATGGGGTTCTACGCCTTCCGACCTCCGCAGTCTTCCTGCGATTAGAAGTTCAATGCCAAAGTCGGGAAACCCTGAACTCCGAGTTTCGATGACCCGCCTGCGATGCCGCCAACTTCGCACGACAGAATACGCCAAGCTCAAGGCGCTGATGCAACCCTGGAGCGGAGCAGAGTCGACCGTATTGTCTGGGTTTACTGCAAGTTGATTGAACATCGCGGAGCGTCGGTCAACGGTTCAATCAGCTGTTTCGCGGAACTGAAACCTGCAAAGATGTCGAAGAGACTAGATGGTCTTGAAGGCTTCGATCACCTCCAAAGACGGCCCGTTTCACAACACGGGTCTTCAGAAAGGCTTCGGATCGGGGTGGGATGCAGCATGAGTCCTCTACCCTGCCGGTTTCACTTCCTGAGCTCACCAAACCACGAAGATAACATGAAAAACCTCTGGCCTCCTGTGTTTCCAGGCGACAGAAGAGGCGGTCGAAGGCCTCAACGGGATCTGCTTTTTCTGAAGCTTCCGTGCACGCGTACGTATGCATGTATGTATGCATGTACACATGTACACAGACATGCCTGCATACGTACATACGTACATACATACCCACACATCTAGACATCTAGACATCTACGTACATACCTGTTTACGCACACATGAATAGATATGTACGTGCATACGCACGTACACACATGCACACCTGCACACATGCGTTTCATCTGTTTCATCCATCCATCCAACCAGCTATTCAGAGTCATGCCTTCTTCAACTTTATTACTCGAAGACAGATGTTGGCCATGTCTGTGAGCCGTGCAACATGGAAAAAATGAAGACCCCGAGAATCTGTGAGACTGGGCAGCTTGGGGTTGGAGGGCAGTCACAGCTACGGAGCCCCGGAACTTCTAAGGGAGTCCGTGGGGTCGACAAATAGAGTGCGGAAAACGAGAACAATGCAATGTCGTGAGTCATGTCCTTCCTGTATCTCCTTGAGGCTGCTGTTGACAGCACCTTGCCCAAGTTCAGGACCGCGTCGCTTCTGTGGCACCCAAGGCCAGCTCATGTGGCAGGGCGAGTGTTGAGGACGGGGTCTGGGTCATGTTTTGCACCAATACATGGAGGAAGAACCTTGGAGCCATCTGAATCCCGCCAACATATGGGGGAAAGCATTTGGGTCCTGCAAGATCGTGCTGTGTTACTGTGGCGATTCGCGCATGCTCAAGAAGCATGTACGATGCGCGTTCGGAATGGAGCCCTGGCGGTGGACGCGGATGACGCGGGCTTGGGGGACGAATTCCTGAAAGGCCGCGCTCAACACGACCATACAAGAGAGATTTGCAAGTGCTTGCTGGGAAATACTGAGTAAAACGTGAAACTGATCATCTCCAAGGGATGCACCTCCAGCGAAGTGTGCCGGCTGGTCGATGTGGGCCGTGCGAATGCAGCGAGGAACCTCGGCTTCGAGGGCAGGTTCAGGTTCGACGGCGCGGCCTCGAGCATTCGCTTCGTGATGTTACGGGCTAGGCTGAGCCTTCGGCTCGTACAGTTGGAGGCCGGACATGCTCGAAATTCAGAAATGCCAACAACCGCGACCATGCCGGTTGAATTTGGTTTGTGAAAGTTTGTTCCTTCCTGCCTGGCAAGGACGACATTGCGGAGCAACTCCGAAGAACAGTTGAGACAGACACACTCTCCAGCAGCACGTCGTACTGGCTGCCACAAGAGTACGACGGATGAATTCATGCTGCCTACGGCAGTAATAAACCTCAGGATGCCTGACAGACACAACTCGAACCTACGCCACTAGAGCAAGCAATGGCACGTTCTTCCTCACTCATGTCCCAACCAGATCCCAGATCCTGAACTGGACGAAACCGCATACCTCACACCCGAAACCCTCTCCAGTGAAATCAGCCGTGCAGGCACCTGCTTCTCAAGTGAAGCTGCCGTTTGCAAACGTCTACCTGCCAGAACCGGATCTTCGAGGTATTGCTTTCTAAGAACATGAGCAGTATCACTCTTGGAGCGCTGTTGCTATGAAGAAGGTGACCATGTTTTGACTGCGGCTGTCGCAGGCACAGTTTCGCAAGCCTTTAGTCAGAGACCTGATTCCTGCGAGTTTTTGCTGCGCCCCACTGCTGCACCCCTTGCCATACGTTGACTTCGCCTGAGAGAAACCCAGAAAGCCCAATCTGGAGCTAGCCATGCCGTTCAACCCGGAACCAGATTCCCCCATCAGAAGCCGGGTGAAGACTCAGGCTTCACTCCCGGACCCCTCTGCCCCTGGCCTCCTTCAAAGGCTGTAAGCACTTCGTGTGAAAGAAGCCCAGCAGCACACGCAGAATCGTGCCCTCCACCAGAGACAGCGCAATGTAATACCTCGGACTCCAGGTCTTCTATATAGATCTGCACACAAGCTCTGCATTCAACGCATGGCTTTTCAATGTGAAGCCGATTTGTGGACCAAGGCACCCCATTGGTCCGTTGAGCTCTGCACCCTCCCAGGCCAGTCGAACCAAGGCCACGAGGCACCAGAGGTGATGAACGTAGCAAGTTGCATCGGTAGAGCCTTAGGTTCGCAGCAAAGATCCCACATGAAACCCAAACGAATAGCACCTTATCGCTTATTCCGTACTACCAATTCTGCTTTTTATGCTTCCAAGGAGCTGTCCATCAAGGGCAACCAGAGCAAATAGTAGCAGCTTATGATCACTGCAAGGCCTTCTGCCACCAGCTGGACTTGCCCAAAGAAGAGCACTGGACAGAGGTAGCAACCTGGGTTGTGCTTTGAACCCTTCGATTTTTTTTATGAATAGGTTCCCTTTTTAAAGGAAAAAAGGGAAATGAAAATTATCCCAAAGCACAACCCAGCAGCCCAGTATCAAGGAGCTCAAGAGCTTGAAGAGCCCTCCACTGGCCTAGAAATTTTGGTTGGGATAGGATAAAACTTAAAAATGTAAAAATTGTATTCCGTATTGGGTTTAAGTACCCATAAAAATATAAAATGTTACCCAACTATGACAAAGTGGCTTTGGGATCTTCTAAGATGTATAGATTGGCCTCTGTGACTCGGTCCATGGAGTACCAGCCAACCAGGCCCGCTACCAACATGCACGCCTCCCTGGCCCCTACCACCGCCATAGATGGCAGGGCAAAGCTTGCATCGTGTACCACATATTGCATATGCAGCAGCTTCGGAATGAACGAGATAACACCGTAGTGCAGATATATGATGCGACTCCGATGGCGAAAGCCAGCGGACACACCGTCACAATGCCAGAGATTGTGCACAAACATCAATGCCACCATGGCCTGCAGCCAGAAATGGTGAGATAAATGCAGCAGACGTAGTAGCTACAACACACTGGTCCGCCACCACATCAGACATCTTGGGCCGGAAACATCACAGCAGACATGCAAGCTGCAAGCGAGGGCACTGCGGCTGTGCTGCTAGCGGTTGGCTTAAGTTAGCTTTTCGAGCTGTCTAAAGAAACCAAACACCGACGAGAACACTGAAAGACCACAATGGTCTGTGGAACTGTAGAGTGCATCTTCGACGTGGGCCGAGCTACTTTTGTCTCGTGCATTCAGATGCTCTCTGTCTTACATGTTGTTCACATTTGCCAGATTTGCACACCAGGCTGCACCATGTACGTTGCATCTCTTCACGCCCATCCTGCGCAAGTTATCCTGCCCCCTGAAATCGTCAGAACCGCGAATGGAACCAGAGACCGGCCGGTGGCAACGACTTGGCATCTCAAGATGCATTACAAGCAGCACGGCTGCAATGACTTTCCCCTATTTATGTTTCCGTCCTGCTGGCATCTGGATCAAGATTTCAAGGACCCAACTAACCGGAAAGATACATCGAGATTTTGCAACCTGCCGCAGGTCGTGCCTCAGAACCTCTTAGCCAGGCATCCAACTGAGTTGAAGACGAAGGCCTTGGTTCGAAGCAGACCAGTGGCTGCGTGAGGAAACATTTTTCTTTCTTTCGCGAGGGTAGAGGAAGACGGAGCGACCATCTTCCCCGGCGCTTAGCGCCCCGGAAGCCAGGTGAAAAAGCGACAGCGGCAAACAGAGTGGAAACATCTGTCTCTCTCTCTCTCTCTCTCTCTTTGTCTCTATGTCTTTGTTGCGCTGATCTTTGACCCTTCGGCCTGCCGTAAGGCTGCGGCACAGAACGGCCACTTTCAGCTGCGACAATGTCGTCAGTTCGTCGCGGCTTCAGGCCTCCACCATCCGTGTCGTTGCACTCCGGCGCGAGATGCTGCCATGCTTGCACTCCCTCCTTCTGCGATTCCAGCATCTTCCAAGAGGGACAGCACAACCCAGCCCTCAGCCATAGGCTCTTGACTCGGCGCAAAAAGTCTCCCCACTGTTGCCACTCTGAGCGGTCCACCACACCGGGCCTTATCCAAACTCCGAAACATGCTTGGCCCGTCCAAGATGTGAACAGACAGCGGCGCCTCTGCTCAAGAGCCGCATGCCTCTGCCAGGTGCAGAAACAACTTCCGAACGAATGAGCAAATAGCAGAAAAGCAGCACTCTACATTGCAGAACTTGAAACCACGGCCAAGGCGGCTAAGATGCACTTGGCTGCGGTGCCGCGGTAGTCTGAACCAGGGCCTCACCCAAGTCTACCATCTCGCATCTCCACCCCAAGCGGAGTCCAATCACTCTAGGTGCTTTAAGCCTGGCACAGAGTTTCTGGAAATGGATGGGTCTCCTCATCGACTTGGCACAGCCCAGGCGGTGGCCTCTTGCACATATCACATAAGAGAGCGCCTCATAGAGCGGAACCGTAATTCGCGCAAAGCAGTCGCCAACCTGCGCTTGGCGACTGAGAGAGGTTCGAGTATGGGCGTATGCTCGTGGCTGTCGCTGTCTGCGTATGTATGTGTATATATATAGTGTAATTTCCCACATGTAGTACTGCACGTATGCGGTTGGAACCAAGCTGAACGAACCAAGCCCATGAGATGAAGACAAGTACATGGAAACATGTTTGCAAAACAACCACCACCTCAACTGTTGTGGTCACTTTGCAGCAGTGCAGAAAAGTCCAAGGGATGGTCAGACAGGCCGGGCCGTCGGCACTTGATCAGCACCTAAACTCTACCCCCCTGATCCTCCGCAACTTACCCTCTTAAATATTATTGGTTCAAACTGTGTGCAGCACAGTGAATGTCTGTGATGTCGCGTGGAAATTCGCAGCCTTGCATGAGGCCGGTGTTTATTTGGATCCCACTTGGCACGACTCAAAGGCCTCGCATTGCAGGCAACATCTAGGAAAGGCCGGTGTTACCACCGTGAGATAACGAAAGTTGCTGAGCATAGAATGACATGCCAAAGCAACATCGCAAGAGGCTCGAAAAACTGTGCTGAAGAAGCTTACGACATGTTCCTCACGCATTTTCAATGGAAGTGACAAGGAAACCTGTGAGCGTTGAGCAGTCTTCCCAGCAATGTTCGCGAACTCCGGTTTTCACGAAGCAGATCAAGCTCAAACTACCGAACCAAAAAAAACTACTCGCAACCCATTGCCAGAAACTCAGTCTTGAGCAGAGACGGAAATCTTCTTCGACTGAAGTCGGGTCAGAAGTTTCTCATAAGATGATGTTGTGAAACTGCGTCGTCGCAGAAACCTAAGAAAAACTGTGCCTCCGGACTTGTTTGACAGCGCGTGGCAGCTTAAGGCATGATTCGTGAGCCGGAGATTTTCGAGCAGGTGGTACTTCTGGTGGCAAGCAAAAGATTTCGGAGCAGAATGCGTGAAGATTTCAGTTCTATGGGCGTTTATCTAGCAGAGGAGTGCAGCTGCCAATGTCTGTGCAAACTCCTGCCTGCACCGCAAACACAACCCTGGTCCATGTACATAAAGATATGTGCGTACGTGTGTGCGAATGCGTGCTTATAACACATGTTCAGATGGATCTCCTCACCTTAAAACCACACTTGATCAGCAATTCACGTGTCGTTGCACCATGTGGCAACTGCACCTTCTTCTTTTCAGACCGCTCGTTAGCTCTATGGCAAGGGCTGAGGATAACATTCTGCGAATTATCCTACTGCCGCATCATAAGAGGAAAGTTCCTCACTTACCGCTCTCGAGTTGCGAGAGCACAACGGCAGTAAAATGTCATCAGCGAAGATCTGTTTCAAAACGAACATCGCTCGTCGCACAAGGTATGCCAGGAACAAGTCAAGTCTCACCTTGGGCCACTGGACGTGTGATGCTGTCAGGAGTAAGCCAAGCAGACTCAGGATGAGTTGTTCAGCCCGTGGCTGCCCTTGTCGTTCTGCTTCCCCTGCGTCTCGTTGCCGGCGTCAACGATGTCATCCTGAATGATTGGAAGCTCATCGAGTTTTTAATGGGTTGGCTCCCTGATTCCTACTTAAATCCCGAATGGCTCAAACCTTTTCGCCTTCCGAGGGTTGATTAGATTTCAGGCGGAGGAAGTGTGGACTGCAGACCATCGGCCAGCACTTGGTGGCGCACGGCGGTCAGGTAAGTTCCCTTTTCGCCACAAATCTCAGCCTGCACGCCGGTCTCACCGTGGAGCTGTAATCTGCGTGCCACCTGCTGGCTCGCATGGCTAGCATGACTAGGGCTCCCACCAATGCCGAATTCAGCAGTTCCTGCGAGCCCACTGTTACAACACACGGAGCAGATGTTTGGAGCTCCGTGCCTGCAGCAGAGCCTTCACCTCATCCTGGACGAAAACCACTCAACCATTACCGCCCTGGCCCTAGCCGCTAGAGTCCCCAGCGGCTCGCACAGAGGTAACACTTGCCTCGGGGTAGCCGAGCAGCTGCATGACTTCGGTGCCGAATCCTGCAAGCTGCTAGCAGAAGCTTCTCCAAGCCATTTCCCCCTCATGGGAAACTCAGGTCCGCACGCACGGCGATCATGGCTGGCATCAGGGCCTGGCCGACGGAGTTCCAACTTGCGCCGACAAGAACTCTCCCGCCGAACTGCTCTGAAAATCCCAATACACCTTGAAACTCCCGCTTGAACACTGCGCAACTGCACGGAGAAAGACAGCACTCTCAACCTTGACGCCCAGCGTGCTTTCCAGCCACTGCTTGTGCTCAGAGTCCTGGCCGAAGCCATCGCTTTCCGAGGCAAAAATGACTGGGGCCTTTGGGCGATGAGTTTGGCCCACCTTTGCTCTGACGATCATCGGCAGCTCTGGAAATTTGGAACGGATGGCAGTAGCCACCTTCGGCACGAGAGTCGATGTCTTTTGGATGCCCCATTGCCCTCCGAAACCTGGTTTGCTCGGTTCCGGCTCTCGTTGGCTACCACCACGACACGAGCCTGGAAGACACTGCAGAACGCGAGCACCAAGAACAAGACGCGAAGAGTCTTGGCGAAGCCTGCCCAATTTTGAAGACGTCCAAGACCTGACTTTGGGCCGACTTGCTGGTTCGTGTTGAGGAATGAGAGCATCACGCGTCTCCAAGGTGCGCTTTTGTTGGCACTGCAGGGGGCAACCACTGCGCACAAGTTTAAACCGATCACAGCAGTCCAGCATGCATGGGAAGATGTCGCAATGCCACACCTGTACATCCATACGGCGGAATTCGGGACTGCTGAAGTCTTGGGAACGGAGTGCGCTGCACAGGTCCTGCTGAGGTTGCCCGCATGCGCACGTCTGAACTTCTCGTGTTTGTACAGAAACACAAAGGCTTCAATCGGCTACAAAGGCTTCCGTTGAGTGGACATCCTACTCCCACTCTCACGTCTTTTCCAGGCAGCGTGAATGCAACGCTGGCCTACGCATCGTGCCGCGCCATAATGGCGACCTCGTTGAGCACATGTCTCTCGCTGTTTCTCTGGGCTCCAGGGCTAAGGAGGCACGCCGCGCAGAACACTCTCTCCCCTGTCCAGCCTTCCTAGTCGGTGCAGCGATTGAAAGTCGATTCGGGTTCTCTCGCTTGCCCTCTCTCGTGCTCTCTCGGACACCTCATTGAAGCAACGCGTGCAGCCGGCTGGCCACTCTCTGGGCAATCGTGTTCGTTGCCGGGAAAACCCGCTTGATGACCGGAAGAGCTTGTCCAGGCTTCGGCCTTAACTCGAAGACGAAGTTGAAGACCTGAGCCAGCCAAGGGAGAGAGAGCACGCTTCCACCTATAAAGGTCTGTTGGGAAGGATGCCAATCTCATGCCAAGCTTCATTGGTGACCAAACTAGATTTCCTTGGCTCTGCAGCAGGTCTGATTTTGCTACCCGGCGCCGAGAGGAGAGTCAGTCTGCTTCTCATGCCAAGCAGCTGGTCAGGCTTCAGCACAGATGCCGTGACCTCCACATGCAGGATCGGCCTCACCTTCGTGTACGTCAGCATGACCCGTCCTTGGTTAGCAAGGTGCCGAAGGCCTTCCGAAGCTGTCAGATCCTGACCACGGGAAGCTAAGGAACCGTTGAACTCACAGATATCTCCAACTTCAACAGGATGAATGAAGCTGACCTGCGAAGAAAAGGCGCAGGGCAAGCTCGCCCGTGACTGAGTCTTGCGATGGTTATCCTTTGAAAACTGTTGGACTCGTGGCACTAGCAGTAACGCTTCCGGAAGCTCAGGATCTGAAGGGCCTTGCCTCATCCACCTCCACGAAGTGAGGGAACGACCCGGCAAACATGTACGCCGTTGGAAATGCACAGCGATAGGCACACCTGCAGGACAGCATTCCCTTCTTGCTGGCAGCAGCATGTGCACCTTCCGTCCTGCCTGCAGGCTGGCTCAACAACTAACCGGGTACACTGCATGTTGCTCAGGCCACCCCAGCACCAGCAGACACGTGCAGTGGGCACCCATCAAGACCAAAGGCGACATTGTGAATTGTGAAGTGAAGCATGTGGAGTAGAGGAAACCCTCCCGAGCGGATCGCAAAGAAGGCTGGCAGATGCAGGCTTCGATGTGAAGAAATCTGCACGGCTGTCACTAAGACATGGGGTGGGCCTTGGCCGCAACGTGAGGGAAGCCGGGGCAAGAGCTCACGGCGCTATCGAAAGGACCGGTGCGGAAGTCCAGACAGACAGAAGAAAGGGAGCATCACTTGTCAAGATGCAGAAAGAGAGATAGATAGAGATAGATAGAGAGAGAAAGAGAGAGAGAGAGAGAGAGAGAGAGAGAGAGAGAGCGAGAGCGAGCGAGCCAGGGGGGAGGGAGGGAGGGAGACACTCAGAGCAAGACAGGTGCTGCTATGCTTCGAGGTCAGTCTGCTGACGCTTGGGTTCAAACGATGCGATTCCAACGTTCCTCGTCAGTGTCTGCTTGGCGGCTGGGCTTCTGAAGAGCGCCTTGTTATGCCTGCATGCGTGCTTACGCCTCCCACTGGACAAAGATGAGACGGTGCAGGTTTGCACCTCATAAGGTAACCACCGAACATGCGTCCAGCGGTGTTGCGCTGCTGTGGCTGGCAGATGATCATGGTCTCCCGCTGTGTCTGGTGAATGAGGACAGCATCGCCCACTGCAAGTCCAGGCATGTCCTGGCGTCGCACACATGAGCCTTTACAAGCCATCTTATCTTGCCTTGGTACCTCCCATGCGCTGGAGTTGTCAAGTCTGCTACCATGTCAGCTCCTGAAGCAGCCGCCCCTGATCCAGCAGCTCCTGCAGCGACGTGGCTCTGACCGAGTGGTGGCGGCAGAGGTGGTCGTCGCGGCGGGTTCGAGAAGAACCGTTGTTTTTTGCTTTCTGTTTGCCCAGCAGCTCCCGCCGCAGCGGGCTCATTCTCAGTTAAAACCACGCAGCTTCCACAGTCCCAAGTTGGTAGAATTCACCGTGGCTGCCAACAACATGGCAAGTCTCCGCGTGGTCTTATCATCGCGCCAATACGTGCGCTTTATCGCATGTCAAGCTATACTTCATTGTCATTCTATTTTCAACGCCCTCTCTTCATATCACATCCCTTACTCCCGCCCCCTCGTTAGCCGATGGTGGTTGACCACATCTCTTGAACACGTGCGTCATAGCAAGCCCTGCAGGGCTAAACAAGAGGGCGGGTCGTTGGGGGTGGGAGTTGCAAACGCAATGCTCGAATGGCCGTCTGGGAAACGATTCATCCACACCCCCTTTCGAGCACGACGTTCTTTACTTAGATTTTGCAAGGTATAAAGTGAGTGGGCGGGTGCGGGGGGGGCGGTACGGGCAGGCCCTCCCCCTACTGGGAAAGCACAATGCACCACCCTCACCACCACCACCACAACAACAACAAACAAAGGCCAGCAAGAGCCACGGCATCAGAAAGGAAAAAGCAACAAACAACGTAAAGCGAGCTCAGTGGAAGGCAGAAATCAAAAGCAGAGACACGTTAAAGAATGTAGAATGCAACAAACGAAAACATTGCAAAAAAAAGAAGCAAAAGCCGTCGCAGAACACATCGGGAAAAACAAACAATGAAAGCAGAAAAAGAGTGGCCAAACAAGCAGAAAGCACAAAAAAAACGACAGTAGAAATACAAACATGACATGAAGCACGCCAAGTTGACATAGGACACCGAAAAAGCAAAAGACCAACTCAAAGAGAGGGACGCCAAGAACAGCCAAGAACAAACCAACAGTTTCCAAATTAAAAAACGATAGAAAGCTGGTGATGGCGGTGGTGGTGTTGGTGGTGTTGTTGGGGGAGGTGGTGGAGGTGGTGGAGGTGGTGGAAGTCTGGTGGAAGTAGCGGTGGAAGTAGCGGTGGAAGTAGCGGTGGAAGTAGCGGTGGAAGCGGCCGTGGAGGAGGTGATGGTGGTGGTGGCGGAGGTGGCGGTGATGGTGCTGGCGGTGGCTCCGGCATAACTGCGCCGGAGGATCGCGTCAACATGCGTCAACTCACCGTTTGAATGAACATGAATCCAAACGCGCCTTGGCCAATGCCGCTTGGGTTGCGTCCACCTCCGTACCTGCAGCAGCCTTCCCAGCTGCACGAGCCAGTCTCCTAGCAATGGCGAAAAGCCGGAAGCAGAAAGTGGCAAACGGCGATGCAGTCCCTCTCGAGCTGCTGTCTTCTTCTTTATTCTTCACGATACTTGCTGCACTTGAAACAAAGCGTGCTTGACTGGAAACGCCCTTCCCATCCTGGTCGCAAAAACTGCCATTCAGCCCTTACTGGACCTTGAACTTCGCATGCAACCAAGGCCTCTTGATTCCTTATGGTATAGAAGTTACGACCAGCACATGACTGGAGCCCGGCCTGGCTGTGTTTTTGTCATCGGCAAGCTGGAAGAGTCTCTTCTCCTCCTTGCAGAATCCATGAAACAGTGACAGCAGCTGTGGGAAAGTCTGGCATGCAAACGACACGAATGCCTGAGTTTCTGGTTCCAGGCGGTTCACTTTGCCTCAGCACAGCTGCATTTTCAGAAGCAGATCCATACAGGGATTGTTGTGCGATGACTGCAATCAACAGAAACCGTTCGGGAGAGGGTGCAGCTCTTCCCGGACATGATGTCCCGCGCCACAAAGGTGAAGTTGGCCACCAGGACGTCGACAGCATCAGCTTCACGCGTCAGCTTCATGTGGATGATCAGCGATGAACTGCCCACCCACGAGACCTGGCCAGACATCTCGTAATTCTGGTCCAACGTAATGGCAATAGAAGGTGCCAGACGGATCCGATCGACCTTGCTCAAACTCTCGCGACCCCGGCCAGCCCAACTTAAGAAACCCAAAACAAAGGAAGCATGCTCTGTGCAGCCACCGCTACAGAGGCTGTTACCAAATGCGGCATTCTTGTCTCCGGGTCGTCGTCATCACAATGCTTGAACGCAACGTTGCCGGCTAAAGCATCCAGATCCTCGAAAAGTTTACTAAATTGTATCAAGCCGTTGAAGTTGGCGTACTGCTCCTTCAAAAGCGAATCATCTTTGAAGTTGTAGGAAACAGCAACGCGGGAATCTCTGGCCGTCTTGGTCAAGAGCTTCTCCTGCATCTGGCCTCCGTCTGCAGTGACTCGCTGTAAATTCGCCCTCTCTTTCCACAGGAGCTGGACAATTGGGCTTTTGTGAACGCCCGCCATCTCGCTTTCGCTCCCACAACTTCGCAGTTGGAGCCACGAGAGTGGTCTGCTCCTATGCTTTGCCCAAAGGCTGGCCACGTGCAAGGACCGCCATGTTGGAGCTTGCTTCAACAGCCGCTGTGCCATTGGGCGACGGGGCCTTTACCCCAACCCTAAAGGGCAAATGCCCACACCTTGAGCATACTAAGCAAAGCCGCTCTTGAATCTCGAAGGATCTGCACCTGACATCGGCTTCGAAAGAGGATGCAGCAAGAGTCCCGGACCTGGTTGCGCGCAACATCGGCCAAGAAGACCGGAAGTCCGGATGCCCGCGCCTGGCAGTCCCAAGCCCTGTGGAACCAGCCCGAACAAGCCAATCTGTACTAGTGTGACTTGCTTGTTGTTTATGTATTTCTGCGTGTCTTTTTCTTTTTTGCTTGCATACAGACAGACACACGGACAGACGGACACAGACAGACAGACATGCATGCCTGCCTATATGCATACCGAACTGCGAACACCCGCCGCCGTAGTCACAAATCAACCAAGCCAAGACAAACACGGTGCTGATGTGAACATAAGTGACCAACATCTGTGGCTGCAGTGGAGGTCAAAATTATTATAGGTCACCCACACAATCGGCGTCGACCGCGGGTTCATTTCAAGCTGAGCCATGTGCAGCTGTCAAACCAAACATCGGGGTTCTTCGCCCGTGCGTTATTGCTTAGCTACGCAATTGAAACGAGTGCAGCCCAGGAACGTGGGTCCGGAGGGCCCACCTCTGATGACGGGACCTCGGCCCTTCAGGCCTTGAAACTTTGAACGGATGCAAGGTTTATTGCTTCGGATATGGTCATATTACGTCCAAGCCCGTCTGATCTCCCTTCGCTCCTGTTTTAAAAGCGAAGAGCTTCGGATCGGGATGCGAGGTCCGCGCCGGAACTGAGGAGCTGCGAGCGCTTTTTCGCTCTCAGATACCCTTGGGAACGAGATGAGGGTGGAGTCGGTCCTCGGTCACAAGGAGCTCCCAACATCCCCCCTGCACATCCTACACCAGATCGGTTTTGCCACCCTCACATTGGACAGGTCACCTTCAAGCCCTGTGGAAACTGCGAGATCAGAAAGCCTCGGCTCATCCAGTGTTCGAAGTCACCTTCACTTGCTCACTTGCCTTGCGGCTTCTGTTGCAGCAACAGGCGTGCCTTGCCAGATGTGAGTATGCAACTCTGCGACACTATTGCTCCAGGCCACGTTCCAAGCCTGCCAAGTTTCGCTGTCAAGCTCTGGGATGCTCTGGGTGCTCAAGTTTGGGAACGACGAAGCCTGCTACCGCCAACGCTTGGGCCACGAGCAGCAAGTCGGAGCTGTCCACATCGTCCAGGTCTGTCAAGCTCCTCACATCCGAGCGGGGCGTTACATCTGTTGCACTCTTACTTTTCCCCGAGCGACCATGTCCCAGTCCCACCTGGCGCGCTCAACACTCCGTGCATCTGGCCGAACGGCACAAGCAAGGCCCTTCCGATCCCAAAGGAGTTGAAGCCTCGCGCCGGCAAGGAGACATCAAGCCATCCTAACAACACGCACACGGCTCCGCCAAGAAAAGCTTGCGCTAGCTTTCTCCATGCATGCGAAGCAGCTGGGAAATCTGGTCCTGCACTGAGCACGCCTTTGTAAACAGGTGTGATCTTCGCGTTAAGACATGGCTACGACAAGCTTCTGCAAGCAACAGCTTCAAGCAGTTTTGTCAGGGCACGTCCAGGAAGTCGGCCAAGCAGCACAGCCGCTCGTCGTTACCACCCTACAGACACGCGTCACTGCCAGCGCAGCGATAGGGAGGTATTCTTGAGAGGAAGCTCCAAGAGGCAGCAGCCGAGGGGCAGCCAAAGCAGCCACACGGGCCAAGGTCCCCTCATCCATGGCTACAACGAGGTCATACCGTCCGAGAACTTCCTGAAGAGTCGCTGAGCACCTCGGTTTCTCCCTGCACGGAATCAAGTCATTCCAGACTTCAAGAAAGATCGACTACCCCAAACAACTGCCACGCTCACCTCACGAAATGACTGAGCTCACAGGGGCACCACGGTGTGCATGGATAACGGAGGCGGACCAAGATGCCGACAGAAATCTTCACGCATTCGAAACTCCCAGTGCCAGAGATTTCGACTACGCGTACCATTCGCCGTTCAAACAATAATTTCTTCGTAGGGCTTGCAGACAGAGCGCTCACTGGCAGGCTTCTCCAGAGGCGTGGTACCATCGGGCGGCACCTGAGCACTTGGCGGGCCCATAGAATACAACGCGTGCCCACTTCGGGCTGCACACACAATACCCAAACCTGGCTCCAAATGCCACTGCTTGCATCGGAAGCTCGTCCTTGTTGTCTGGCTCACTGTCTTCCGGCCAGCGGTGCTCTGATGCAACGCAGCCGGAAGCGCTGGTTAGCAGGCTGTAGCTTTGCCTGGGGCCACATCGCACGTTGTGAAGATGCAGCTTCATGTTGTGGCCTCGGCACTGGCTTCTGTCTCGTGCCAAGCCGCGTGGAGTCGCAAACTTGCTCAAAAAGTAGCATCACCTCACAGGATGCTGAAGGATGCAGAAGGACTCAGAAGCTTTCAGACTGAAGCCGCATGTCCAGCACCACACATCTGACGGTTCTGCTGTCCTTTGGCTACTGGGCTTGAGGACTAGCCAGATCCGCTTGACCTCTATCATCACGACTGAGGCCACCGTCAGTGAACCCGCAGTGCAAACCGTGTACTCATGACAGTGAGCCCACCAACAAACTGTCACCAACCAGCTGACCAGCTGTCCTGCCTCCTGAACCTGCCAAGGGCAGCGACTTGGGACTGCGCTGCTGCCGACAAAATAGATCCTTGGCCCGGCGGGCTACTGGCGAGTTTGCAGTGGGACAGAAAAAGAACAGAGCAACGCTCGCCACCAGGACTCCACAGCGATGGCGGGCATCCAACCAGAGGGCCCATGTTTTGGAACTGGAAACCTGCACGCACTCCGAAGCAGCCGGTCCTCGCGAAACCGTGGCCCCGCCCGATGCCTGCATCCCGACCGCGGGGCAAGCCTCGGAAGGGGTCATGCGGGGCACAAGGGGGAGAAAGACGTCATGACTCTATGCAAACTCTTTTGGTGGTGTTCGCATGCATTCGTATAGTGTGCAAGTGTGCGACTCTACGATCCAGAAGATCCAGACAAAGATCCAGAAACCTCAAGATGGGACTCTCAGTCACCGGCCGTCAGTACGCGACCAGCCACTCGACAGAACGGGCAACAGGCGATGTCGCCGTTCAGCTCGTCTGCATCTCAACATCTGACCTGGCTTTTGACAATTTCTTCACAAGAAGTAGCTATAGTATCATGCAGTTGTCTAGAAGGCTACACTTAAGACTTAACCCGCTGCTGCGGACATGCCAAGAGGGGGGCATCTGGCTCTCCTGGCCTGGGCTGACAAAGTCATTTGTGTAGATGTCCTGCCATGGCTTCAACAAGTCCGAGTCTTGGGTTTCTAGTCAGGAGGCTCTCTGTACTTGTGAGTCTCATCCAGGGCCTCCTCACTGTTTATTGCCAGGCAGGCGCGCTGTCTTTTCTGACTGCTCCGCACCGCGAAGCCTCGTCAGCAAACCCCATGATAGTGTTGCTGTGGCATGCCTTGCTATAGTGCACCGGCCCGCTCTGTCTAGATTGCCGCACCTGCAGGCACAGAACACAGCGAGGTCGCCAGCGGCCACCTTTGCAGGGACATCCCGGAAGCATTGCACAAAGCTGAGCTCTCGCACCGAAGACCCGGCCAGGACGCAGGCCGGTCCGACTGAGCGAAAGCAGCACCCACTGTAGCTGGCTTTACGCCCGCCACCGCAGGCACTGCACGCGGTCCTGGCTGCGGAGAACAATTTCAGAAGACGCTTTCGGTCGGCGGGGCGTCTCGTTTTACCGAAAATGTCGAGGAGCCGTGCTTTGGGCTCCGATGCAGAAACTTTCGAGGACTGCTACGGCAGACGGAACTGCCTCAGAAACCTCGCGGACGAGCTATACATAGGCAAGTTTTGTCTTCATTAGCGCTCATTTCATTGGCATCATGATGACTCTATGATGACTCTAGAGTAAGGCAGCGCATCGATCGTCTCCGCTGGATTCCTTCCACGCACTAGGTCGGTGGCAACAGGCAAGTGTTGGTGCTTCAAACCCTCCTCTATTGGGGTGCGATGCAGAAAGCTCCTGTCCTCGCTGTCCTCCTCCTCGTCCCCGTCACTTTCATCGCAGGGCTTGTCCGGCGTCCGTGCAATCATGGCCGTGAGGCGGAGACAACCGAACAGTACTGTCAAGATCAGCCGAAGAAGCAGCACAGTGGCTTCGAAGTTGTCGAAATTCCCCTTGAACTGGCCATCGTCCATGGGCTCAGTTGGCGATTGCCGCCGATCTCAGCATCTGCTATCGCCAGCTAAGCTTTCATGAACAAGCCTTCTACAAGCTGCCAAGATCGAATGCTTGCTTTGCCGAGCCACCTGCTTTGAACAGATTCACCACATCTATGCCAGTGTCTGCGATATTCCACAAGTGTTGAAACGTCGCCTTTGGTTGTGTGACGACTGCCACGGGAACCTTCAGAGAAAAAGGCTCACACGCTTTGCAAGCGTGAACAACATACGTAGCAACAGGACTATACATTATATACCCCTTATTTTTTGCCATATAGTAACCCTTATGTAGCCCTTTAAAGGAACCCTATTCTAGTTATTAAGGCCTTACAGGTGGCCCAAGTCCTGGACATGCACAAGGTCGTTCGGACATGGCACGTCCACAAAGATGCCGTGGAAGCCGTCCGTAATCCCTATAAAGATGGCCTTGAGAACGACCCAGTGGTATACCCAGGATGATGTGGGACCAGCCGGCAACCACGTCAGATCCTTCGAAAAACGGCAACCCGACACGTATGTACACATATATACATATATACATAGACATAGACATATATATGTTGTCCCAACTTCCAAAGAGATCTGCTTGCACACTGCTGGAGCGAAAAGCATGTTCAGTCCAGATATAGACTGAAAGTAGGAGCATGAGGTTAAAAGCCACTGGTTTTCTGCAGACAGGCGTTAAACAAAAGATGGACATCACAGCTGCAGAGCTGCAACCGGAGTAGACTGACAAAAACAGCAAGACCGCATGCCTGGACACATCAGAAAAAGATCGGCACCCACTGCAACACGGAAACAAAGACATATGTGATTTTCGCTACACGGCAACACCAGGCATGCCTTCGCCGACGGTCCACTGCACATGCAGGCATTTCATTGCTGATGGGGAGTGCGAAACGAATATCAAGGAGATGAAAGACGCACACAGACTGTAGGCCCACGCCAGCAAATCCCTGAGCTTCGTGCCGACTCTGCCATGGACTTTGCGAACAAAATCTCGTTGCTTCGCAGAAAAGCCAAGGCCACTGTCGTCATAAGCACCGACGGGATGAAGGTCATGGTATACCTGAGAAGCTAAGCATACCCTGACCCTCAGTATCACGGGAGCCACGCCGGAAAAGGCAATCGGGCCCTGGCCATGCCGGAAACGCATAGTTCAGGAGGTGCATCGGCATTCCCAGGTGATCTTCCCAGATCGTGTAGTCAGAAGACATGTGTGCCTCGCGAGGCTTTTCTATTCTAGACACTACTGGACTGGCTTTTGACCATGGCCATCAGAATTCGGGAGAGCCGCTAGAAACAGAGAAGCCAATTTCTCAGTACTGGCCACCAGCTGAACCATGCTTCGCACCCGGATGCCTACTGTTGATTTTGGTGCCTCCGCACTCTTTCTCAGCCCCGTCTGCTTCTTGTGAGGCATGCATCTCTTTCGCGACCCTTCTCTCAATCGCGTTCCTTCAGGCTTGCCGGATCTCGCTGCTTCTCACCGCCTTCTGGAGTTCCAGGCTAGAAGGCGTGGCAACCGGCTTCTAGACAACGCCTGTGCTTCAGCCTCAATACTTTCACTGAGGATATCCCGGCCGCGACACTCGAACCTGAACCCGAAACGATGCAGGCAACATGGAAGGCATGTCGGGAGCCGGACCACACTTTCTAAGGGCCAGAAGTAAGCAGGCGCAAAAACACACTTTTGTCGACAATGGGAAATGACTGGGAGATGGTACTGGTAAAGTAAAGAAAGCCATAAGGGAATGCGTACAATCGTGCTTTATACATTCACGTGTGCACCTGCATACAAACGCACGAAAGGCATTCTTTCAATGCAAGTACAGGCTTATTTCTCTTTGTACTTATGATTACTTTTGCAGAAAGTACTTGGGTGGACAAGAGGCAACTGCATGCGCACGCGACGACATGCACTAATATACAGAAACGGCAAAGAAAGGAGTGTGGGAATAGCTGCATCGCTCCATGATTTCGAAATGCACTGAAGCGGCAGAGCAGCCTCGTCAACATCGAAGGAGCTCGCAAGTGGTGTCACCTCCCGAAACTCTTTCAGGCCCTCTTAGCTCTTGACCGGCACAAAGCACTCGTGTACAAACTGCTTCGCCCTCACGCACTGCCTCCTGCAGCTTAAGGTCGTGCTGCCGCTCATCTTCGTTCATCGGCTCACGCACCACCATGGCGGTGGTGAAGTATGGAGACCCTGTATCGCATGCAGCTTCGGAGCACTCTAGACACAAAGCACAACCGCAGGCCGCCTGGTGGAAGTGGATGGAGCAACATGACCTGATCCACCCAGGATGCCGGTGGCAGCGGCTTGCAGAAGCAGCACGTCAGGTATGCCAGCACATAGCGGAGGCCCAGGGAAAAACCAACAAGCAATGCGCTGGCACCCGCCAGGAGGATGATGCAGCAGATAGTCGCCCCTGCTGCATGGCAAGGAACATCATGCAGCCAAGCAGGCCAACATGCATCTGTGTGCATGTGTGCGTGTGTGTATACATACATACATACATACATACATACATACATACTTACATACTTACATACTTACATACTTTTTGTCACTCGTGCTCGACAAGTCAGACGAGGGTTTAGCAACTGAAGACTTAACATACTTACATACTTACATACTTACATACAGATTGTTGGCATAAATAAATACATATAAATATGTGCAGTATGTGTGCACATCTGCTTTTCTATACATGTATGTATATCTGTGTATTTATAACTATACATATATATATGTGTGTGTGTGTGTGCTCAGGTGGGCATAGTGAAAACTCCACTCCTGCAATCGATTGGATCATGTGTGTGCACGAATGTCTGCATGTTTGCATGTGTGTGTATACGAACCTATGTTTAGTTTTTGTATCAACTACATACGGTTTGTGTGTAAGTATGTATGTACATACGCAGGTATGTAGGTATGTATGCAGGTATGTACGTATGTAAGTATGTGTGCATGCATGCATTTGTTCTTGCACACGTCTACCTTCGTACGTACGAACGTTTGCATGTATGTCTGGGTGTATGTAGGTACGTAGATAGGAGGTAGGTAGGTAGGCAAGTAAGTAGGTAGGTAGGTGTATATGCATGTTCATACATAACTTTGTACAACACAGTCATACTTGTAGCCGCTTGGCTCTCATGCTTACTTGCTTCGTGGATTCGTCGTTCATGTATTACCTATCTGGGACAAGCCCTTCTTGATGCGATTGCTGTTGTGCCTATGCAATGCCAAGCTTACTCATCTATCTACCCAATCGAACATAAGCATACAACACGTGTTTTGATACAAGACGTGCTTTGATACTAAATATAAGAACCTGCACATGCAAGAGTTGGTGTCTGCACGTTCTTGATAGTTGGAAAGTCAGCATGCTAGATGGCGAGCTAGTTAGGTAGATGCTGATGGCTCCTTACAACGCACGGAACTTACAAGAGCTGTTGCACGAACTTCGACATTCGCTGTGCGGTACCAAGCTGCACTTCGTGAGCTAGCAACATTGACATCTGGCTTGTCAACGGCCAACTAATCAGCTATTCGGTCAAGAGGTACGCCAGGTCAGCAGTCAGGTCTTGACTGTTCTAGTAGCTGGCTCCGTTGTTCTCGCCTTGTCCTCGAAAGACTTAATGCACACTGTACGCACGATTCACAGTACCGTGCAGTATTCTGCATACCTTTGTCTGTACCGCGGCTCCATCTGGTGTAGATGTGGATGCCGATGAACAGTAACCGTTCATGCATTCAGATAAAAGCATCACGATCGATGGAGTGTTGGTACAGAAACACTTTTTCAGGCACCCGAACAGGTGGGCCCGGCCTACAAGGCCCGACACGATATAGAGGAAGAGCAGACCGACTGGTATCAAGCAGCAGATCGCCGATGTGCAGTTGCAGATCATCCAGCCACAAATACCACAACAGCCCTTGCACCAGAAGCCTGCGTGAGCAGCCGACTCGCAGTTTCGTTGCAAAAGAAACTGCGCATGCAGCTCGCACATCTGCATGCTTCTGAGCTCAGCGACAGCAGAGGCATCTGCAGTAGGCGAAGCACGCGATTATGGAGGTCCAGCACAGCCTTGCAGGTAAGATCTTAAGGACGGCGCTGAACAATCCTGGTTGTTCGAATCCTTGAAGCACACCTTCCAGGATTTCTACAGCCGGGTGGCTCAAGAATGCAGACTAGGAGGTCCACGCTCGTGAAAGTCATAAGCACGAGGATGTCAAAGCCTTGGGGGTCCGAGGCTTCTGCACGACCCCTCCAAGAAAGGCATTCTCGAGACATAGAAGAGTGGCAATGTCGGTAAGTCATCCAGCGAAGCTCGAATACGTAGTAGCAAGCGACACTTGGGTGTGGCAAGTGGATTTCGCCTCCACCCTGTAGCGGCCAGGTGCCTGCAACAGCTCCAGAAACAGCAACAGCTGTGACTGCAACATTCCTGCCGGCCTGTATCAACTTCTTCGTGCACCAGCTTTCTGAAAGCATGCAGCTCAGTGAAGAAGCGATATGCCAGACCCACCTGAGGTATTCGTCTTGAATCTTTGCTCAGATCGCGCCCTGATGCGCCGGGGTGCTGCAATCCACACCGCCAGGCCCATCATGACGCAATACAAGGGTCCTGAGCTGGCTTTCCGAAGGCTCAAAGAGACAGGGCGAGAAATGCGCACAACGGCCACATTTTCAACCAGCGCCTTCTCCCCTTCAGCGCCTGGCAGGTGAAACCTAATCTACACCATGGGCACAAAGAAAGCTTTTCCTTCCCTGCATCACAAGTTCACACTCAGGATTCGGTGGTTACCAGAGTCCGCAATGAGAAGCTGCCTGGTGGATCGCAGCAGTTCTACAGCAGTCGGTCGATTCAGCTGGTCGAGCTTCGGGCCGTGGTCACGACCAAAAACGAGCTCACCTGTGCTGGCGCCTTGTCTCCAACGAAGAATCCGATGGTTGAAAGTGTCGGCGACCAGGAGATCCCCGTTGAAATCCAAGGTGATGCCTCTTGGATAATTCAGCTGATTCAGCTCTCTCCCCCGGCCGTTGCCACCGGCCACCAATTCCCCCCTGCTCGATCCGGGCATCCATTTCATGATCCGGTGATTGCCACTGTCAGCGATGAAGACGGCGCCGTCCGCTTGCGTGACAATTCCAAAAGGCCGATGGAGTCGAGACAAGTCCTGCCCGACTGCTGCTTGGTTTGACGCCGCACCGGCCACAATCCTTCTAAGCGCCCCCCCTTTCCAAACACACTGGACTATGCAGTGGTCATAAGCATCTGCAAACAGGAGACTGCCATCCTGCTGCAGGGCTATCCCTGAAGGAAGACAGCCGTCTGCAATTAGCGTCAGTGTCTGGTCCTGGAAGGATCCAAGGTGCACCCCACTGCCGGCAGTCACTATGACGGATCCCATGCCCGCTTCTGAGAAGGTCACGTCAATTGGACTGAACCAAGAATGTGTGCTGGGACCGCCAAGAACCGCAGACACTGTTGCAGGTCCTGAATACTTGAGCAGGCGGCAGTTGCCGCAATCCGCGACAAACACCGATCCATCGTTTGCCACAGTTAGGCCAACTGGCCGACACAGCTGATCCAAGCGTGCGCCACGCCCTCTTCCTCCAGCGAAGACCTCTGCGTTCGAAGCCCTTCGTTTGGCCATCTTGTTACTAATCATGTCAGCCACAAGCGACAGCAAGATTGATCGGGGCAATTTCGGGGCTGGCGGAGGCTGGCCGAGGGCTTTGGCGAGAGCCACGTCATCTTTTGCAGAAGGAGTCAGTGACTCCAGCACATGACTCAGGTCCTCACGTCGGGCTCGCTCTGCTCTCGAAGACGTACGCGCCGATGACCAACCCAATGCACTGAGCAAGGCATCGTCATCGGAAGCTGTCCGCCCCGTCCTGTCGATGCTTTGCAGCAACCTGGTCAAGGCGGCGCTCTTCTGTCCTGACTTTGGCCGTGGCGATGCCAGGATGTGGGAGAGGGCCACATCGTCGCGAGATTCTTGGAACCTTTGAGGGGTCGGTGGATGTCTGGCAATGCTGGATGACGTTCTGCAAGGGCCAGCCCATTGCCCAGGAATAGGGTCTAAGGCATCATCCAAGATAGCCTTCAGAAGCCTGTCGTCCTCAGTGCGAGCCATGTCAGCCTCCTCCTGCACTGAGAAGAGCGTGGGAGAACTGCGTGAACGCAGGTGCCGAGAAGACTCATCCTGGCGCCTCTGGCGGAATGATGGAGCCAAGATTCGCATCGGAGCCCAAAAGTCGGAGGCGGAGGTGGTGTCTGGCGGCAGGGTGCGCAGCGTGTCGAGTGACGGACACGGCGCGCATGGTGCGTATGGTGCGTATGGTGGTGGAGGGCCTGGCGGCAAGCTCACCGCGAAGTTGCTTGGAGGTGGTGGAGGGTTGGGCGGTCCTGGCGGGGCTGGTGGAGCTGTGGTGCTGAAGAATGACTCCAGGACCAGGTCATCACTCGGCGGCGCCTTCGGTTGAGAATCTCCCAAGAAGGACGTCAGCAACGCATCATCTTGCACTTGCTGCACTGGGCTGGGAGCAAGAAAGTCGCGCAGCAACGCGTCATCAGCGGCAGGGGGCGGGGGCGCCGGCGCATACATCGTTCGGAAACATTCACTACATGATATCAGCGTTTCCCGCCTGATGCAGGAAAACCCTCGAACTGCTTAAGCCACACGACTGCCGACTACCGAGATGACACGAGAAACGCGCAAATCGCAACATACCGTGCGCCAGTCCACTGGCTTCAGACTACGCGCTCTGGGATGCCGCAGACAGGCTACGGCTGGCTGTACGTAGGCTTGGGCCAAGGCCCACGAAGCGCTTGTAGCCCATAGAGCCGACTCGAAAGAGCCCCCAGCAACGACGCCCCAGCGGCGCCACGTAAAAGACGCTCATCACCTAAGCCACGCTCTCTGGTGTTCTTTCTCTTCTTGTCTTTGCGCTAGTCGCTCCGACAAAGCAAGTGCTCGGGTGGCAACCCCAACGGCCAAGAAGTTCCCGATTGCGTAGACCTCAGAGAAAAAGGGCGCAATACTAGACCTTGATGCAAGATCGGCGAGGGTTTTGCCCAGGCGCGGCTGCACATTGACGAGCTGAGGTCCAGGCGAAGAAGTTGACGAAAACGCTCTTCATTCCTGCAGATGCACGAAAGCCGCCAAAGCTCTCTTGCAGCATGTGCTTTGGCTTTCCTACTTATTACACCACATCAATGCCGAGTCCTCGCGACAATACCTGTGGAAGCGTAGCGAACTGCGTCTTGAATTCGGCCATGTGCACCCCACATGTCTCAGCCAACATCCACTGGAGGTAGATGTATGGCGGCTCCTGCCACAGCTCTCAGGTGCTGTTTAGATGACTCAGGCCGAGGCCATGGCTCTGGTAGTAATTGCGTCTCCTTGCCCACTTCTCCCACATCCGAGAAATCTCGAATTTCTGGCGGCAGGCAATCAGGATCAAACCCGGACCGCGTCACCTCAAGAAAACCAAAACGGGCGCTGGGCTCAGAAATTTCTCCAGAAAGCCAGTCTAGGCCCTTGACATTTGCACACAACAAAGGCGCCTGGCACAAGGCCAGGCAGCAGCAAAGCGACTTCCTCGCACGGGTTCTGTCACCCACCTCCTGAGCCCTGCCCGGCACCAAAGCTGCGAGGAGCGCTGGCCAGACTGGCCATGCCATCTTTGAGAAATCAGCGACTGATGCCTACGCATTCCCTTGCTCGATCTTGTTCTGTAGTGCCGATACCGCGCTCTGCCCGGTGTGCTTGCCCCGACAATTCGTAACGAGCTTGACTCTGTCATCCAAACTGGGATTGGCTACAACAGCAACTCAAGCCAAAAGGCGCGGCACCACTCAAGCACACTCGAGTCTTCTGAAGCCCTTGTGCACCCACAAGGTCCCGGATAAGAAGCGGCAATGCAAAGTGCAACATGCTCCTGGCGGTCGAAAGGAGCTTGTGGCCACATGCATCAGCTTCGAAGAACGCGCTCCACCGGAAGCAGCACACCGGATTCAGCTACACGGCGCAACAGTTTGCTGCGGTGTGTGTCAATGGCTGAAACCTATGGATTTTTGACATTCGAGATTCGTCGCCATTGAAGGCCATTTACTCGTCCTCGAATCTCAACAAAATCACCAAAAGACAATTGTGCTTCTAGGCTCCAGCCAGGCAAAGCTGAAAATGGCTGGACAGAGCGCGGCACGGAGATGACATGTCCACCAAGATGGACAATTGGACAGATAGACAAGCAGGCAGAGACATGCCCGATATGAGCCACCGACTACGTGAGCAAAAAAGACTGTGCAGAAACCATAAAGCTCCAACGTCTTCCCACTGACACCGACCTCTGTTGCGACAGCGGCATCGTCTTCGAAAACTATGTACTGCGCCTTGCACAGTTGCAATACATCCGAATCTGTCATCAAGATGAGGATGCAATGGTGACAGGACAGAACCAACTATCACCATCTCTGCCTCACCCTCCTGATCCAGCAAGTTGCACACGGTGCGCCCAATCATGTTGTAACCTTGCACGAGGCCCGTCACCCACAACCCCGCCGGCCCATCAACCTCGAAGGGACATGACACATGTAGGATAGTACCAAGTCCCTCACCGCAAATAGCAACGAAGCCGTCTCCGCTCTTTGTGATCTCCTGGACATCGGCAGCTGCTCGCTGATCTTGCCTTGGTCAGCGGGTCCACAGAAAACCGCTCCAGCAAAGGTCTACTCTCAAGCATCCTGCCCCTCTAGGTTTCGCATACCTCGTCGCTGTCGAAGCCTCGAAAAGAACTGCTGCAGGTCACCCAACAGATTCGCAAGGCTTTGCAATGCTCCGCTACCTGCGTGCGACCCCGTCTGCTCCGGCCGCCAGTAGAGGTGTTACCGCCATAGAGATGACGGAAGTTGTGACCTGCCACACTCCGGGCACTTCTTCCACTCAGCTGTTGTCATGGTGGCTGAGCGCTCAGCCAGGATTGTCGCCTGCAAGGGGGGCCGAGCCCAATGTTGCAATTTGCTGAAACTGTAAAGGCTTCGCATTGGCCATCCCCTTCAGCCAAGAGACCGCGTTTGATGGCATGATGCCAACCTTACATGAGGAAGATAAGCCCGTGATGGATCATCAAAGCAGTGAACTCTCACAAGCTCAAAGCCCCGAGGATAGGACGTGCTCTGCAAGCCGAAAGAGCACGAGAGCAAACTCCCCACCCGGAGCCAACAGGGCAGAGGCCTCTCCAGCCCACAAATGAGACTCGCAAATGTTCTTCCATGGCATACATGGCCTGAAGAGAGGAGGCATCGGAGAGGCCATGCCAAAGTCCCAACACGACAACCACCAAAGCCTCCCAAACTGCGACGATATTGAGGACTGATGCCACTTGAGGCTTCCCGAGGAAATCCTTCAGCACGAGCACGGCCAGCAGCAGCGGCACCACGGTAAGCCAGTGGTGAGTCTTAGAAAGTTGGAAACATGTATTTGGTGCTTGTCAGGGTGGATTGTCCGATGCTACCCGCCATCCGCCTGAACCTTTGCCCTTCTTCCAAGCGCTAGTGGGTCGCAGGGCCCGTGCCAGCACAGACAAATCGAAGGAGAAGCCCACAGTGACCTCAGCAAGCCAGAAGCTCTTTCCCCATTGCCAGTAACGGTTCTCACTCAATCGCTCTGGGCATGCATATGACATGGGGCCGGTATGGTTCCTGTGACTTGCTGTCCCTTTAAGAATCTCTCTCTGCCTTCCCAAAATCCAAGCAGCAAAGAACAGGCCCAGCAGCATGCCTCGGAACGGCGCAATGTCCGCCTGCATGACGAACGAGTAAACAGGAGAAGGCGCGAAACGCCGGCTGCACGTTGCTGCACACAGGGACAGTCTTTCTCCACGCGTTCCGTCTCGTCTCTGTGCACCGAGGTGGAGCTGTTTGGGCTGTCGTCGTGGCGACGGCACAGACCCTCTCCCGCTCCTCTGAGCGGTGCGAAGACCAGCCGCGTCGAGTCTTGACTTTGGACTCGCAGGGCCAGGGCGAGCGGGGCAGGAGCGAAGCGGGGAGCGGCGGGTGCAGGTAGGTCTTGCAATGCCTTAGCCGGCACAGGACGTGGAATGGACGGCCCCTCCAGACTTGCTGCATTCACGACAGCAGGTGTCGAAAGGATTTCCACTCCGAGTTCTTCCAGGAGCAACCTTTCGGCCGCAACCGATCTTGCAGAGTCCGGAATCCGGCTTCCCATAGCCCGAAGATACAGAATCCTTTGGCGGAGCCTTCTGACAGAATCGGTCGTGGGCCATTCCTAGGGCACAGCCCTTGCAGCAAGTGGTGAGAGGCCGGCCCCTCGAGTCCACTCCAGGTGCGACCTTCAATCCACAGCCGTTCTTGCAAAGACCCGGGCCCACCTTCGAGGCGTCGATTCGTCCACAACGCAGGTCGTGGCCAAATCCCATGATGCAGCCCCGACAGCAGGTAGTGAAGTGTCGGCCGGCTCGGGTAACGCCGGGAGCCACCCGACGCCCACACCCGACTTTGCAGTAGCCTTCCGGCACCTCGAGCTCGCCGCCGTCTTCTTGAAGCTGTTGCAAACGCTTTTGCCAAGCGGCACCTCCCAGCTGCCCGATGCTTTCTTTCCGCATTCGCTCTTGTTCCTCGTCCATCCAGGAAAAGCCGAAGCCTTTCTGCTTGCACATGGCTTGGATCCGAGTACCCTCACTTGTTCCTCGATGCCGTGTGTGCGCCACCAAGCGCTCGACGTGCCTTCGGAGATCGACCTCTCCATGGATCTGGGCTTCCTTGTACTTCATCTTCCCCACTTTGTCCGAATCTCCCAGGAGGGCTGCATCTTTGGACGTGGCTACCTTGATGGTCTCTGAAAGCTCCGCGACATCGTACTGCAGTAGAACATGAGCATAAAAATCTAGCACCGCCAGCTTGTCCCCCTTGAGATTTGCAGAATCTTCTGGCGAGAAAGTACATCGGAGACGCACGTCCTTTAGAATGAGATACGAGTCACCATATTGTGCACACCTAAGCACTCCCCGATGGTCGTTCATGACGTTCTGCACTCCATATTTCGGACGGTCTTTTCCAGCACTCCCATCCTCAGAATGTTAGCACCCAAAGACTACAACAGGACAAGTGTCTAAGATTCAAGCACACAGGCACACAGCGAGCATCGCAAATGAACACACCGAGTCTCGTAGGAACCACCGAACAAGTCCCTCTCCCATTTTTCGCGTGTGGCCGGCTTCAACAGCCCACCAGACGTGTTTGTCTCGAACTGGTTTCGGTAGTGAGTATCCTTTCACAGACGGCTGCAAGTAATGAGAGCCTCACAAGTGGTACAGTTTTTAGCAGTCTTGGGTGGCCTGTCAGAAAGTACCTCCCTGTCTTTGCAGGGAAATGTTTCACAGCCTTTCCTTCTCCATGAACTGAAGCATCTTATCCAGATTGACGTGAATGATGACCTGATGCTCCATATGACCCAACATGCCGACAGGTAATGGGAAGGGGTATGCATGATGCAGCGACAGTCCTAATGAAGGACAGAGTGGGCTTTGTGTGGGGAGGTACTGTGCTGTCGATCGACAGTAACCGTGCTTCACCCGGCATGCTGCTCTGCCAAAGGAAGCAAAACGGCCAGGTGGCTGGGGCCAGCTCGCGAATCCAGGCCAAAGTTAGCCAGAGATCGTCTTCCTGAAAACGAAGACCTTGCTTCATGAACTTACACGACACTTATATGAACGTGAGCATGCACCAGGACTACACTTACACTACCCTGCCTTTGACTGCACCACTACACAACTCTACCCACACTACATTGCGCTGCTCTGCACTACGTCACATTCTACATTACAACACCTTCCACACAGCCCAATGCAATACAGTAGTTACTGTTACTGTTACATTTCACAGGTACCGCGACAATGACACCATTCCACCACATGACAATACAAAACATTACACGATGCTAGTATTGCCCCCGATGTGTCCTTACCTAGGTGCCTACGCAAAGAATGCCGTATCTGTGTATGTTCTGTGCATAATTATGTACATATATACATAAATACATGTATACATGTAAGAGCAGAGCATGTAGACATATAGGCTCGCATTGATGCATGTGTACATACTTTTCTACGCACATTGGGGCTTGCCGCGCTTAGTGCTGTCCAGCAGCTGGCCACCCTCTTCTGCAGCTCTGGCAGAGCCTCTTGGTGGTTCCTCAACTGTGTAAATCACTTGAAGCCACCCAGGACCTTGCAGCTGGTCGAGTCAAGCAACTTCTTTGCAAGGGCACGGATGTGCTTCACGGCCTTCTGTTGACAGTCGCCTGTTTGGGATGCGGGTTTACCCCTCTCAGCCCTCTTGCTCTCGTGCATGCAGCGCCATAACGTTAATGTTGTTTGCATGCGGTGCCGAGTCACGAAGCTTGGCCGCCTGTCAGGGCGAGCGAAATACATAACCCTAGTGGCCATACCAAGCCCAGAGCTAGCAGTCACTTAGAAGCTAGCCTCCTGGAATTCAGATTGCTGCCTCAAGGTCGTGGCAAGAAGACACATCAATGCAAGAAGTGAAGTAGTTCACGCGCCAAGACACACGACCATTTTCCAGTAGGCTTGAGCTTCCCTGTCGATGCCTGCCAAGCATTAACGGATGTCGACAACCATGTCAGGTATGAATGGCAAAGACTGGCACAGGCAACGGTAATCGAAATGCCTGCAGAAGTCAACTGGGCAGAGATCGCTTCCGTGTCTGCACTCTCATGGAGGTCATAGCCCAGCCTTATCTTCCCGAGATTTCGGAAACCTGTCCAGTTCTAGCTTCGGCTGCCTGCCTGCCGGTGAAAGGAGCACGCAACCGCACCACCAATCATGCTACCCACCATCCGACCCGGAAAGTCTGAAAAGGCACCTTTATATCTCCCCCCTGCTGTGCCGAAAACTTAAATCTCTCGGGCGACTTTTGCTTGATGCGCTTCTGCCGCTCCTCGAAGAGTTTCCCGCTCCCACCCATCTTTCCGACCTGGCATTCATTGGCTGAAAAGCTGTGACAGGACTCTAACGACGACGTACCCGGCAGGAATACTAAGAAACCCAATTTGAACTGGTTTGAACTAGGCACATAGTCCTGAAACTCGTCGAAGGATATCTTTCCGCTGCCGTCCTCGCATGGAAAAGAACAGCAACTGAACAAAAGCGAAAGGAGCGAACCAAGCTATCTGCAAGGAAAGGCCGCATTCATGCCTCTAAAACTGCTTCGGATCCAGCCTTCCGGACTTGCCTCCAGCTGGGGTTAGTCACAGGAGCGAATGCTCAACCAACTGGACTGTGGTTTGTGGGTTCTACCAGGGAGCTCGGATGATTGAATCCAGGGCTGTTGAGAACCTTCGAAGGATCTGTTGGAGCTACGATTTCGAAGACCCTCGGCAAACGCAGAATGGCCCAACCCAACAACTATTGCTTGTATGATTCCCACTCTGCTTTCTTCGGCATCGAAGCACTGCAGCAAACATTAGCCAGCACAAGAGCTGGGGGTGATGTCCGTATCGATCATCTTCAGCAGTCTGCGGATGTCTTCGTCTTCCGAGGGAAACCCGAGGTAGCCTCCGTCGTGAAAACAAGACTCCATAATGCGACTAGTCCGAGATGCTGTCGGGCTGAAGGTGCCCGAATCATGGATGAAATAATGATCTGGGTTCAACCCATATGCGTCCTACCGGTCAGAACCTGAGCTTCTCACTAAGTAAACAGGAGCCCCCATCAGCTTCACTGCTGCCAAGGCACGATTCATGCTCTTTAGATCATTTTTCCTCAGCTGCAATGCCACGAAACCGAATCTGAAGCGACGAAGACAATTTTGAATACGATCGTGCTTGTACAACCGGTGCAGATCCTCCTTGGCCCCACATCCCCTCCCGCTTCAGGGCTAAAGGTTGGTGACGGTTGGCGGCTGCTTGAGATAACTGCATCCGCTTGTCGGCATCATCAATTTGGAGCTTCCAGTGTTCGGGCTGATTTCGATCCATGGGATGTTAGCTGAAGAGTGAACGGAGCGGGTATCTCTTGAGCTTGTAGCTGTTCAGAAAAGGTTAACTTTCCTCGCTATGTTCGAAGAGTGCACAACCGATGCATTCGCAATGGCTTCGGAAAAGCAGACAAAATAAATCCGCACTTTTGCAACAAAGCTTAACACACACACACACACATGAAACAAGGCTCCGACAGACTATGTTGGCTGGTCGCTGTGCCATTGATTGGTGCTCATGGTGTCAACAGCACTGCCATTGCGCAGTAGCACGTGTGCATTTTCAGAGTACGTGTTCTTGCTCCTGGTGCGTTTTTGTGATGATTGCTACCAGCAATTCGCCAAAGCAGCTCTAGCTCGCCTGTCTTCTGATTGTCGAAGAGGTTGAATGCCCGAGCCAGAGTCTCCTCCTCAGCCTTCACTTCCTCCAAGAACTACGCAAACGGCTTAGAAGGGCTCCCTTGCAAGTAGCGACAAGGGTGATTATTGCAACAAGTCTCCTGCTCCAGACGGTCCAACAAGTCCTCGACATCTCCAGCCGAGGGGTCCTCACTCGCTTGACGTATTTGCCTCACCTTGGCTCCGAAGGCTGCTGCGACGATGTTATGAAACGCTTCGTAATTTCAAGCTCAACGTCGGAAACGCCATGAGAGGTCGCGAGCGAAGGTTGGAAGTCTGTTCATTCATCCACTCCCTATAACTTCCAGGAGTAGCTCGTGTCGGGGAAATCTGGCACCCTGAAATAGCAAGCTAGCCTGCATTAACTGTGGACTGCTTCTCCACCAGCGGCGCTGCTCATGCTGTGTCGCCCACGTGACTCCAGAGTTTGCATCCCCGCAAGGCGTGTTCTCAGATTTATGCTGCTGCAGACAGGCCCGCAACCCCTCCCTAGCGGCCCTAGCGTGAACCTGAAGGACATGCCTCTCTTGCAAACAGCTCCCTCCACTCTCGACGCTCGCTCCCCTCACGCTGAACTCATGTTCAGGACTTCTTGAACTCAGCTCTGAACATAATCATTCAGCGCATGATGTGCGGCGTCCAAATAGCGGTGTTGCGCCAGAGTCTCCTCAGTTCTCCAGAAACCTTTCCTGCTCTCGGCAGAGTGTCCCCCCCCCCCCACATCAGCCAAGCTTCATACAGCCTGTCTGTCGCTGCTTTCCCGGGCATGCTACTGGAGCCGATACGCTGCAGATACACGGGAGAGACCAGACCTTACACGATAGCACTGACGGGCCACGGGCCTCGATCTGGTGCTTGTAATCGGTCTCCGCCACGAGGACGCCTCCGACAAAAGCGCCCAGGGTCTCCGAGAGCCCGAAGGCCTGGGCGCCAAGAGCTGTGAGAGGTGTCGCCATCTAACGCCCTGCACCTGCGTCAGGCTGGAGGACAGCAACACCGTCCCCAAGGTGACAGCCAGGAAGGCCTCCCAGCTCAGAAATGCACAGAAGCGCCTTATCTTCGCTCCTCCCATCCCCTATTTGTGGGCCTCCGAGGAGTCTGAGCGCTTCACGAATGCCAAGAGCGGCCGAAGGAAGAAACTCGGGCGGCTTGGCTTTGCACAAGCATCCAAAACTGCATCCCCAGCTCTCGTCTGTAGGTTTTGAACGGTAAGCTTCAAAAACATACCAACGCTGTAGTTTGACCGTCTTACGAGTCTTGCCATGTTTTGCCGGTCAATGTGGTTGACAATGCATCAGAACGCGACGTTGGAAACAACTGAGCATGTGCTGCATAGAACAAGATGACCGGGTTCACTCGAAAGCCGGTGAAGCATTGCTCTCATCTGCGGTGTGCACAGAAGAGACATGCGGAATCGAAGAAGCCGGTGACGGACATCTTACAGTGGTCGTCGTCTCTTGCAGTTGCATTCTCTCGCCCTCGCTCGCTCTTTCATTCACTCCATGCCATTTCCTTTCCTACCAGCTTGCTCTGACATCTTGCCTACATCCAGGCAGCAGGGCCCTCTGCGGTGTGCTGAGCAAAGGCTGAGCACCCAGTCTCGGGTGTCGAAGACTTCTGTCACGTCTCACGCTGCGGCTGGGAGCCGTGCTGGCCGGTTGCTACGACTATGCCGAGAGCTAGCACGGCCTGCGCCGCCAATGCGATCATCCGATGAAGCTAGTTCCACCAACAACATTTCACTCTCGAGCCTTGCCGAATGACTCGGCTATGGCCACCTGCCACATGAAGTGGCATGCTCGCACATGTCGGCAAGACTCAAGCACGTTCGCAGTCACGGCCCACCGGCAATGCAGCGCCACCGGGGTCACCCAACAATGGTGCCAGCACCAGCAGTGGCACGACCTCGCAACTGCAGGTTCCAGTGAAAGAGACAATGCATTTTGCAAGCCGCTGCCTCACACAAACTCAGGGTGTCACTGCCATGTCCTGAAACAGAAGCACACCCAAGGACCTGGAATGCACCAGTGAAGCGAGGCGTTTAACGCTGGGCAGTTCTCGAGACAAAGATCCCGGCGCGCGTCCGAAGCGAGTGCCCAGTTGGCGCTTGTCACGCAGGAGCTGGAGAGCAAAGGCCTCGCCCAAGACGCTACATTCGCTACATTCGCTGCACGCACGCTCATCTTGTTGCTCTGCTTTCTATTGGATGCGGAACTCCTGTGGTTGGGTACGCATCACCCCATTGAGGGACGAAAACAACGAAGCTGAGAACTGCGCCGATGATGACAGCGCCAGGCCGCCCCCCATCAGCAAGGAGGCTCCGGTTGACAGCTGAGACGAGATCAAAGGCCTCATCAAACTGAACGCTTGAATCCTGCATAAGCCGCGTCCCTCTCATATGATTCAGCCGGTTACAAGCATCTTCAAGCGCGGGTCGATCTGCACTTGGCATGTCGGCGGAACTAACGATTGGCCGAGTGGCGAGAGGAGGGACAACAGGCCACCGGTGATCAGAAACTGGGCCATGCCGAGACCAAAGACCTGAGAATGCAACAGGCCACTTAGATAAGCATGAATGTAGAGAGAGAGAGAGAGGGGAGCGGAGAGAGAGAGAGAGAGAGAAAAAAAAACAAAAAAACATGTATAGACTCTGTACAGGAAAAGGAGTGGAAAGTAATTTTCCTACAGCAAAAAGGTATGCAGGTCGACGAAGGGGTTTGCTTTTTTTGAGTTTAGCTGGTAGGCACATAGACAACATAACGAACCTAGCAGCACCGATAGATAGATTCATTTTAAATTCATGCTCCAAAGCACCTGCTGTTCACCCTCCTTCCGCTGCATATCGTGTTTCTGCCTGCTCACATGAAAACCTATACATGAGTCCATGAGTAATTGCATACATACATGCATGCATACAGACGCACTTACCTACATGTATCTACGTGCATGCATTGTAATATGCACATAGACCTGTATGTGTATATGTATATGTATATGTCCTAGCTTCTCAACATGCGTGATTGCTTACAGCAAATCATCAATGCAAGACGGCCCTCTTTTTGCGTGCACTTCGGGCCATGGAATCTTCTCTGTGGACAGGTGGCGCATGCCATCCTGGTACAGTGATGCGCGCTCCGGGCGCGCAGCATTAACAAATCTGGCACTGCAGAGTGGAGCAGATTGGTATGCAAAAGAATGCCTTTCAGGGCATCACACCACAGGCAAATGCTTTGCCGGAATGGCGGCGGGGTGGCGGCGGTCCAGCTTTACTCTGAGCCCCTGTGTTTCGGCGCCGGACATCAAGGTGCATGTCCTAGCTTCTCAACATGCGTGATTGCTTACAGCAAATCATCAATGCAAGACGGCCCTCTTTTTGCGTGCACTTCGGGCCATGGAATCTTCTCTGTGGACAGGTGGCGCATGCCATCCTGGTACAGTGATGCGCGCTCCGGGCGCGCAGCATTAACAAATCTGGCACTGCAGAGTGGAGCAGATTGGTATGCAAAAGAATGCCTTTCAGGGCATCACACCACAGGCAAATGCTTTGCCGGAATGGCACCACTCCCTCAGGCACAGGCGGCGAAGGGGAAGGTGGCGGGCAGGTCTAAAGACGAAGCACCGGGCGCCCTGCCCTGCTGGGCAGCTGCAAGCGCTGGGCGAGATGGGTCACCAGAGCACCCATAAGCACAGAGGTACAACTGAGCAGGACTTGGCCTAGAGGCCCCAAGCCGATGCAGCGGGGACACGTGGCATCAGAAAAGTCAGCTAAGGGCGCCTCGGAAGGTTCATCACGGAGCCATGCGATGAGTGCATACAGCAGAGCATCGACGAACTGAAAGACGACACCAAATGCCTGCTGCACAGCCCAGCGAAGGCAGAAGGCAAAGAAACGCCCCACCACGAAGTGTGCTTGCGGGCGAGAGAACACAGTCACCAGGCCGGCGACAAGAAACAAGGTGGGAGCCGACAACTGGGCAAAACAGGACGTCACACGGCAGACGGTTGCCTTGCAACGCGCCCACCAGGTGCTAGGCTGCGAAGTGCCAAGTCTTGAGGGTGCTGCCACCGCTTCAGGCGGTGGGCGCACAGGGCGGCACGGTTGCAAATCTGACGGTTCTAAAGAACGTGCACCAACAGCGGCACGGGCGTAGTTACGTAGCTCAGGCTCAGCGCAGCGCTTGGAGAAACGCTCGAGCTGCGCCCAGGTGAGCTCGCGAAAAGGAGTGCCTTTCAGCGGACCCTGGCGCACGCGCTTCGAACCATGCAGAGCTTTCAAGTGCTCCATACTGGGCAAGTACCGCCGGCAACACGGCCATGGGGCACGGGAACTCCCAGCTTGAGCCATCAGGCAGCAACAAAAACTCACCGCCGTACCGCACAAGCGTGGTGATTGAACGTTTGGCCTGAGGACCTAAGGACAACTGAACCTGACGACTAAGAGCCAACTGCACGTAGTGGGCCAAGGTGCGCTCACTAGCCCATCTGCCTCGGAACTTCAACCGAGAGATTTCCATCCCGGTGATGTGTAGGTGGGAAGCGCCACCGGCACGCAGCGACGCAGGACTGAAGCCTAGATCAACAACACCTAACCTCGAAGCCACCTCACGGAACAGTGCACGAAACCGCGAAGGGCCCCACGGCCAGAATCTGTCAGAGTCACGCAAGGCTGGGAGCACCGAAGCCAAAGCACTGCAACACGGTTCATGCTCAATTAAAACGAACTGGTGACGACTGAGGTCCCGCCGATTCTTGGGTGCTTCTATGCGTAACACAGCACCTCGGGCAGCAAACACCCATGAGTCAGGAAGTGCGATGTCCGCTGCGAGCAAGCCACATATTTCGCCAGGGCGCAACAACCCGAAGAACCCTAACTCAAGGCCTATAGCAAAACGAAGCCAAAGCTGACTAGTCCGACGGCGCAAGGTTGCTTGAGCGCGTGCGTAGACAACAAAGGCTGCCAGCACCGACAAGGGAAGGGGCGGCCGCACTCGGATGACCGAGGCCTCCTCCCATGCGGCCAGGGTTTGCCAAGCCAAGTGAAGCCTTCTTCGAAAGTGCGGGTACAGCTGCTGCACGGCCAACACTGCGTGCTTTGCCACGCCTAGCGACTTCGGCCCTCGCGTTTCATACATCCAGTTGACAAAGTTTTCCAAAGCAGTGTCCAGAGAGCGTCTCCGCTTGGCAAGTTGTCTGAGAGAGGCACCTTCATGAGACAAGTACGTGCAGAGCGCACGGTAGCCAACCAGAAGACGTCTCTTGTATGGCACTGACAGCTGGCTGCCGCGCAGCGGCATGCGGGGCACGACTCTCGGCTGGACTAAACCAAAAAACTACTGAATTAGAGACCGCTTGAAGGAATTCAGAGCACAATCATCTACTTGGAAGCCTGAAAGGTTCTTCCACGAAGCTCATGTTACTGTCCGTGCAGTTGCAAAACAGTTTTGAAACGATTCGTTACGAGGCAGCTCAGCAACACGCACAAGAGCAGTCAACGCAGCACTGCCGCTGTTTTACACTGAGTCGCTCGCAGTTGCCTGCGCACGGGCTTCGCCTGCAAGGCTTGCAACTCGGTCTGGGAAAGGAAGGCTTTCAAGCCTGCAGGCGGTGCTTGGGGCTCGGGCATAGGAGCATTACGTGATGGATGGTCAGCAGGGTTTTTGCTAGTACCTACCCAAACATGGACCAGGCACTTACGACCTGCAACAGAGTGGCTAAGAACCCTACGCAACAAAGCGTTTAGCTTTCTAGACGAACTTCTTCCCTTCGCCCAGGCACCGCAGACAACACGCGAATCGCAAAGGTTCACTAAGCGCAGACCAGCATCACTCTGTTTGATGGAGGCTTTAAGCTGCTTGACAGCAACTTTCATTTCTTGCACGTTGATGTGGGAAACCACTTTGAACTTCGACCTTTCAGTGACGCGCCAGCGTGCGCAAAGCAAGGCATCCTCTAGGTCTTCTGGTGCTTGCACCATACTAGTCAACGGCTGAAGGCGCCCTAAGGCCCAATCAAGCCGCACTGCTTCGCCCTTGTGCACCGCAAACCTATAGCAAAGGTCAGCTAGCTTACGAGGAACTTGCGCTACAGCTCGGCCAGCATGGGTCGGGGTTGCGTCGGTGGCGCTGATGACGGTCGATACTGGCCATCGCACACAAGAGTGCGCAAAGGGGAGAAGCAGCGTGGCCCACAACACTTCCTCTTGACACTTCTGAGGAAGGGGAGACAGCTTGGACTTTGGCAGCTTTTCTATGGCTTTGTAAGTTTCTTGGAAAACAGCCATACACTCTCGCCTATGCATGAAAGGATGCACGAACAAGCCAACAAGTCGTTGCAACAGCTTGCGGTTGACACCACGCAACTCCAGGAGCTGCTGGCTTGCAACGACAAGGTGTCGCAATTTCTCAACGGGTGCCCCGACTCTTCCTGAACTGCTGTCAACATGAGTACCCCATGCCTGGAACTCATATGCTTTCGTGACTGCCTTCTTTGACGATATCGGGATCTTCAAGTCGCTATAATGTTGTCGCGAAGCCGTGATGATTTCATCATCGCGCTCTAAGTTGAAACCGCCTGATCCTCCTTTCAAGCATTTTTGCACAGTGATGTGGTCATCAATGTACAAGCCTTCCCATGTGTGCCCTACTGGGGTGGGGTATCCGTATTGCAAGGTTTCAGAAGCCCTTAGACAACCAACTTCTCTTAAGATCGCTTCATGCGTAGCCTGTGCGATGCAAACACCGTTAAGGTCACCCATGGGAACGGTTCGTAGGGCAATGTAATACCTACCCGCAGGGTCGGCGCCATACTTCTTAAGCCTACGCCCAGGGATGGGCCTGCCTACAGCATTTCTAGGAATCCAAGCTTCTAAGTGCTTTAAAAGATGGAAATAATTTGAAATGTCGTCGGCACTGCCACGGACGGACTCCCAAGGCTCAAGAATGAGTTGTGTCAACAGAGTGCCTTGCGGTAATGATGCCCAGTGAAGACGTTGCTCAGTAGCGTTCTGCGGCCGTCTGTCTGTAATTAGCCTATCCTGCTCGGGCTTATGGGGAACAGTGAAAAACCCCGCTACAACTGGGGCACCCTTACTGTCCTTGAGGACATCACCCTCGTGCACAAGCAATGCCAGATCGCTATCCAGCAGTTTGCAGGCAATCACAATTTCGTCTGACAATGCAACCTTATGGCATGGCTTCGGTCTGCGAAAAGAAGCTTCGTTCGGCTCGGGGAGCCACTCGGCCATTGAAAGGAATTGTGACAGCCTCTCGCCTTGCAAGTGATTCGCAGGATCAATCACTGCCCCTGTTGGCGGAATTGCGATCCGGTTCGGATCAACATCTCCGGCATGCAGCAATAGACTATCAATATCTAAAAAACTGTTGCGGTCATAGGAGCGCGCACGTGCAAGTTCCAGCTGTTTGAGCAGGGCAGCTATGCCTCGATTTGGGCCCTCTGGGACTTTCACTCGACAAAGCTTCCAACAGTCATCAAACAAATTCTTAGCATGGTCGCTATGCCTCGCTGTCAACACGTAGAAGCACACCCTATAGCAGCAGCAGAGATTGAGGGTTCACTAACAGGACACCCTACCTCGAAATAATTAAACAATCCCCAAACAACAATAACCCATTCCTCTGCTGTCCTCATGCCTCGCCTCCTCTTGCGGTTACGCGTGCTACCGAAGTGCATGCCCAGAGTCGTGGGCAGGGGCAGTGGAGACGGAAACAAACTAAAGTCAAAACTGGGAGCCGTACCTTGGCTCCGTGGCCCTAGCTCCGTGGACAGAGCTTTCAACTTTCTGAGGAACCTTGAAAAGGCTCCTTTCCCGTACCAAGCCCGCTTCAGAGTCCACTCAAGCGAGGACTCAGCAGGCGCGGTGTTCTGCGAGCTCGTTTTCAAGCTGGGCTGGACTGCTTGTCGCCCTTGTCCTTGTCCTTTCCTTTGCCGGGTCCTTTCGTAGGCTTCCACACTTTGTCGCCTTCGGGCGTGTCCGCAGTCTCGTTCTGGTTTTGGTCCTGGTTGCCCCAAGCCACTTGCCTGGTTCGCTTTTCCAGCTCCTGGACTGCACGGAGGTAGTCCGCAGCTGACTCCAGGTGAGCCGGTTCGCCTCCCCAGCGCCGGCGGCCCAGCGGATCTTTGAGCGTGGTGAGCATCCATCCCACCTCCCAATTTCCTGAGTCGAGGGCAACTTGGTGCAAGCAGCGTAGCGTCAGTACAGCCATCAGGGCGGCTGACTCTTTGTCGTCGTCCAGCAGATGCTTCAGGATGTGGGACACTAGGAAGTGGCAACGAAAAAGGCCCTTCTGCTTGCCAAAAGGGATTTTCTTCGTGTAGTCCCAAAGGTTGTAGGGCATGTCTCCTCCTTCCACACCGAGTTCTGTCTCGATCTCCCTTATGTAGATCCGAACGTGCTTCATCGGCTTGCGCCACATGGCTTCCTTGCTCTTGCGGTAGCGGTTGAAGGCACGAGCGGCTCCTCGTAGCTTCTTGTCTTCCTGCGAAGAGCTCTCGTCGTCTGAGTCGGAGTCCTTCTGAGGTGGGCGGTGACTGCGGCGATCGCTTCTCTTGGCTTCGGATGCATCTGTCAGCATCTTCACCATCAACAGCGTCTGCAGAGTTTGAAGGTCCGGCTTTCCCCCAGCACTGTTCTCCAAGAGCTTCGCCACGGCAGTGTCCATGTCGAGGTCTTTGCCGCTGGTTGCCCGACTGCGCGAAGTGGTGCTTTTGAACAACGGGAACCGTTCCTGAGCGGGAGGCTTTACTTTGCGCTCCTTTGAGGAGCTGTCGCCTTTTCCACCAAGCACGGGCTGCTTCTTTTTCGCTGCTTGCAGGAGCTTCAGAATGTCGCCGTCGACGTCCTCGTCGTCCTGCTCTCCACCTTCTGACTCCTCCTCCGACGCTGAGCTGCTCGAAGGTGGTGGCTTGCGAGGCTTCTCGGGGACTTCTGGCTCGTCTGACGCTGTTGCAGTGTGCAGCTCGCCGCTGGTGGATGCAACCCACTCCTTTCCTTGCTTTAGCAACACTGTCGCCTTCACTTCGAGGCTGCTGAAGGGCTCGTCTGGTAGCGCTTGCCTGAGCTGCGCTGCGCTGCCTTCGACTAGCATGAACCGGCGGTGCTCTAACGGGAAAAGCGTCACTTCCCCTTCCTCGGTCTTCGCGCCGTGATCCGCAACTCGGACCATGATCAACAACCTTGCAGCTGAATGCCGTTTCACAACTAGGCCTTGTCTCCATGCTGGGTCACCAAACTCCGGTCCCACTTTCAAGAAGACTACTTCGCCTGGCCGAGCATCTCGCATGTCTCTCAGCTTGCAAGATCACATCAGCAGGCGCACCATGGCATCTACTTTCCAGCTTTACTCTGAGCCCCTGTGTTTCGGCGCCGGACATCAAGGTGCATGTATACATGTAACTGTTTGAAATTTGTGTGCGGATTCACATGTGGGTATATGATACGCATTTGTGTTTGTGTGTGCAGGTGTGAGCGCCTGTGCAGCCATTCCTTCGTTAATCACTCCTGCAACCTGACCGTTCTGAAGAGCTTTCTCCTTGGCAGACACAACCGGAGACACAGTTGATGACAGATACATACACACAACGGCCTGTCACCTTATGTGTAAGTGTGCTTGCCTGTTATATGTATCCACGAATGCATGCACGCAAGCATTGCATGCATGTATGTGGGTAGGTGTGCAGGTGTGCATGTGCGCACATGCGCACCTGTGTATGCACATATGCATGTTCACGTACAGTCAGTATGTATGTATGCATGTATGTATGTACGCATGTATGTATGTAAAAACATGTGTATCTACATCTGAACTTTTAACTATCTAATTATAAGCTATCTGGCAGCTGTCTAGTTATTTCAGTATTGAATTATTTCCTTGCCAATATACGTTTGCATTTATGCATATTTCAAACTCCGGAGTCTCTGTCAGGCGTCTGCAGGCCTTCTTCTCCTCGCTTCACTGAGGGCGCAGCATCACCTCTCATGGAAACGACCTTCTTGACTGAAAGCTCTAGCCCAGTCCTGACATGTTCCGCAAAGATGCGTCCTCCGTTTTTCCGTCGTTGCAATCGAAACCTTCGTATCCGCTGAGAAGCTGGCTCGAAGAGGAAGAAGATGATGCCGAAGTCGGCAATTCGATGGCTCACCTCCTGGGAGGTGGGGGGGGGGCGGCGCAGGGCTTGCCCCGACTTTCGAATCTGATCCGAAGGCCCGACGATATGCCGGATCACATCTGCGCCAGCCGGCCCCAGGATCAGGCCAATGAGCAGGAACCCGATGATTGGCCTCAAAGGCAAACGATGCATCAGATTCTGCACAGATTCTGTTCAGCTTGCATGGCACGCATCCAGGAAGCTTCTCGCTTTTTGCGGCATGCAGACATGCGCGGGCGCGGGTCCTCCATGCTTCGGGTTTTCGCACATGGAGGAAAGAGGCTGAATTTCCAGCTGCACCTGGTAGTGGCTGCTGGGACTGGCTGGAAAGGTGTCAGCTGGATATGCAGCACGCACATTGCAAGCTTGCTTTTGCAAGCTGCAACAGCTGTGCAAGACGGCCTCGAAGAAAGCAGCCCACTTGTGTGGGCAGCCGGCAGAGGCTAACCGAGGAGGAAGTGCACACAAACTAGGAAGGAAGAGAACAGAGAGAGAGGGAAGCGGAAGAAAACACTCACAGACACAGAAAGACAGAACAGGGTCAAGTTGAACGACCAAAGATTTCAGTCACTGCTAAACTAGGCTCGGACGTGCACGCATCGAAAAGGATTCGCATCGCTCAGAAACAACAATGGCAGGATGAGACAAACAGCTCGCATGTGCGAAGAAGCCTTCGTGAGCTCATCTACGGCATGCCGCCCGAGCGAGATGCATCCAACCGAAACAAGACAGGCGACAGCGATTTAAGCATCGACGTGGAAACAACCACTCTACAGCACGGGACTTCCGAATGCTCGCAATGTTCAGTCTTCTAGCAGTAAGGCTTCGCATTCCATCATAGTAGGCGACCTGAGTGACTGGAACATCGCATCTACGAGAGGATGGGTCTCTGGGCCTCATCTATTCGAGCCTACCCGCCTGCCTGCTCTCAGTCCTGGTACTTCCCCCAAACCTTGTCATCCCAAATGTTGGGAGAGCGCTTGACATCCTTGGCCGCATCTAACCAGGGCTTGTCTTGCAGCTGCTCGGCTTGAAAAGTCTCCTATTTAGCTGACTCCCCACACATGCATCCCCCCAGTATCCTCCCATCTCGACAAATGCGACGGTGACAGCGACAGCGACTGCGAATTCCACTGCCACTGCCGCTGCCGCTGCTACTACTGCGAGGACATACTGTTACTGCTTCTGCTACTGTTACTGCTGCTACTCCTCCTCCTCCTGCTGCTGCTTGTTGTGACGGCTACGACTACGACGACTGCTCCGCTCTTACTCCAATCACCACCAAAGCCACCACCGCCACCACTACCACTACTGCCACTGCCACTGCCACGACCAACATCGCAACTCCAATCACTTCCTCCTACTCCTCCACCTGACCTACCGCCTGTGCTGCTGGTGCTACTGGTACTGCTTCCACTACAGGGAATACTGTTGGTGAACACCGCCATGGTCCACCTCGTCGGCGAATACTATAGCATTCTTACAACTATGTGACTGTGTGTCACTGTTGTCATTACTCTCTGACTATCTTAAGCGTCGTTGGTGTTAGCACCAATAATCAATAGTCGATTGTTTTACTGTCCGGCTATTGACTACTGTCACTGTGCTTGATATTGTGGGAAACTGGGTGTTATTCTTGTTGTTGCTTGTACTGCTAGCAGCCTTTCAGATGTTGCACTTTGATACTATCACTATGATGCAACTCCTAAACCCTAACCGATTGTTCCTGCTGCTTGCCGCCGTAGGGTGTTCTGGTTGTTGCTGTTGCTATGCATACGATGGCCACTCGCAATGGGAACGTCTGTGTTTGCCTGACCCCTGGCCGAGATGGGGGTTTCCGAAAATAGGTGACCCTAATATACAAATTACCCTTGATAGTAGGGTCTTTTGTGGCACGGACCTCAAAATAAGGCAGGTCCCCCTGATTTTCGGAAACTCCCAGATAGCTTGCAACCGGATTTCCTTCGTCTCACGCTTGGGGGGCTCGGCTTGCGCTTCCGAAGGGTTCTTCGGCACCGGCACCTCGCTACCCGTCGGAGCTTGGAGTCAGCATAAGAGGATCTGTGAAATCCATATAAGTAACAGGGCTTGGCATTCGGAGACCCCACCAAAAACACTGAAAGCAACGTGGCCTTGGCTTCGCGTTGAGCTGTCTTGAACCCATTGGAACCTCAGGGGTAACTCTTGCTGGGACACTGTAAAAGCGCCCTGCCACCTCTGGGGCCACGGCTGAGTGGAACCAACTTCGGTTGGTTTCCGAGGATCAGACCTCACTGTGCCACCCCTATTTCTGCAGAAGTTGCGCCAGCTGATGACGCTTAACGCTTCTCGAAGCTCTACCGCCGAGACACCGTGAGAGGTCGTCTCGCTAAAATGGTGGCCGTAGGTTTCCTGCGGCAGCCTCGCGGAGAGAAGAACGGAAGAGAAGGCGACCGATCCGTTCGACCCCGTCCACCTGGGCGCAGCTTTCTCCACAGCCGGCAGCGCATCGTCCTTCAAGCGAGTCCTGCTCCGAGGCCAGGCGTCCCATTCAAGGGACAAGTAGGGGAGCTTTATAGCGGCTTTACCTGTACCAGAAGGAAATTTGTCGGTGATAGCTTCCGTCCTCTGGAGCAAGGCAACTTGACAATGCCGAGGCCAAGCGTGGCACACCTCAGGTAGCTTTGACTTACGTTTGTCATGCCAAATGCACCTGGAAAACGGCGCTGGCCAGGACAATGCCGACGGCACTAGCAACGTCATGCTCAAGACAAGACAATAGATCATCAAAGCCACCACGAAAAACAGCGGCAACAGCAACAGCAGCAGCAGCAGCAGCAGCAGCAGCAGCAGCAGCAGCCGCCACTGCAATCGCCACCACAACCACAACAGCAACAGCAATAAACAATAAACAACAAGCAACAAAAACACACAAAAGCAAGCAACAACAAACAACAAGAGACAGCAGCAGACAAGAACAACCCACGTCAACCCACAACAATCAACAAAGACCAACGAGCAAAACCAACAACCACCAGCAACAACCGACAACAACCAAAAAAACACACCACCGCTTCCACCACCAGCAGCAGCAGCAGCAACAGCGGCAGCAGTAGTAACAACAGCCACCACATCAGTTGCAGCAGCAGCAGCACCAACAGCAATAGCGGCGATAGCAACAGTTACGGCTGGGATCTGTCAGAACTCCAGGGCGGCACACAAACCTTCTGCCCAACACGAGCTTGAGGAATCTGAGACCGGTCAACTCGGAGAGGCCTCCACTTACATCGAACCCTCGCGTTCCTCATGATCCTGGAGGCTACCGGTCATTACTAGTCTGAGACTCATTAGTAACAAACTGAGAGGCTGCTGGCTGGGCGTCTCTGTGAAGCACCACTTGTTGCGCGAGATATGAGCACTAATCGAGTCTTTGGTGAAACTCTGCTACTGGCCTTCGACGAAGGAAGACTGGAACCAGAAGCTGCCAGTCCATCGGGAAAAAAGACCGGGAAAGCTCTCTCCAGTCGCCCTTGGAACGGGCCTAAGGCCCCCAAAGGCAAGGCTATCTGTGCATCCGACGTACAAACCGCTCACGGCACATTGGACATTGCTTCGTGCCACTTTCAACAACGCCCGCACAGTCTTCGCACAAAGCGACATGACCACAAAGCATTGAAGGCACAGTAGGTTCTGCATCTAGGCAGATGCAGCACTTGGACTCCGTGAAAAGCTCGGAAGAAGTTGTCCGGTGGACAACCTGACATGATCTGAGCAGCTTGTCTTCAACTGAAGGCTTCTCCCGGCCCGGCCTCGGGCCCCAAGCGGATCGCTGCTCGAAGCTTCGCTTCCGCGATCTGGCGTCGCTGTGCAGTGGAGGTGTCCAGTCGGAGTCGCTCGCGGGCCACGCGGATGAAGTCGATCCTATCCTGGTCGACGCTATCGACTGCACCTGCCAGGATGATGCTTGCAAGGAAACATGTTTCCGCCCCGGCAGCTATGCCACTATGCACCTTGGATATCGCAAATGAAGCAGGCTTTGCCCCACTTCCGCAGCATCCCCGTCAAGTCTTCTTTGTCAGCACCTTTCTCCTTCACAGCTCAAGATCCACACTCACGACACTCTCACAACGAATGCGCACAGGCTCGTGATGGCTCGTGGAGAGTCTCGGCCTGCTCGGCTGAAAGGGTCACCTCCACGAAGGGTACGAAAACCACAGGCGAGAGAAATCCTGATCCCAGTTTGGCCAAGAATGATGCAAACAAAAATCGAGGGCAGCAACAGTTACTCATGCGATCCGGGCGTCTCAATCCCATGACGCGCGGTCTCAATGATTCGGGCAGAGCCCTTCCACTAGATCCTGTGACCTCGGACATCACCGCCTGAGCAAAGGAGATCTCGAAGCGCGCATTCCGACTATTCCCAGCCGCCCGCCTCTTGAATCTTTTTCAGCGGAATGGAAAGTGTGTTCGTGGCCAGAATAGCACCAGGACGAGCAGTCGACACCGCCTCTGCAAAGACCTTGCTCTTGATCTCGAGCTTGTCCGGGACAGCTTCCAACACAATGTGAGCCCTGGTTGCTGCCTCCGCAACGGATTGACAAGCCTCGGATTCACACCCATTGATGGGGGTCGGGAACCCTAAACCCTAAAACTAAGCCTCCTTTGTCCCGACCGCCTGCTCTATAAGACGAGCGGCCTTAGCCTGGCGAGCAGGCTCCTTGGCATAGGGTGTCCACTTACCTCCTTTCGGCGATGCCATTTCCGCAAGGCCCAACAAGCCTTGCCTGCGCACATGCTCACAGTCACAGTAAGATTATGCTGTTCTCTCCAAGAGCCATGCTTCTTTCGGGGTTGTGGGGATTGGAGCAAGAAAGGGGCCTGTCGCACTCCAGGAGAAGGCCGCCCACCGTTTCGTTCAAGGCAGTCTGCGGGTCTCTTTGCTTGGCGATGTTTGCATCGTAAACTGCCTCGCATGAGCACCGGTCAAAGTGCCTAGCTGGCATTCGGTGTCACTGGGCTGGGCTCGGCGCGACATTGTTTCCCAGAAGCAACATTTCCGCGATGATGCGAGCACCCAGGAATCCAGCACCGATGACCGCCACGTTTATTGTGTCTTCCGCCTGCCATGCACGAGCCACACTTCCCGTGACGACAAAGTGGGCCGCAAGCACGAACCACCCTCTGCAGCCAAGCAGCTTCCGCCATGGCGAAACCTGAAGCAGGTGACACAGGGACAATGCAAACACGTCTGAGCCTAAGCCAACGAAATCGTCACGCCTGGGCCTGCGCCTCGGAGCGGCACGATCCCACCCCAGCGTTTGGCTGGAGCCAAACACAGCTGCGCCCGAAGCTAGTGCACAGTTTCGGGCTTCGGGTGCGGAGGCGAACAGCTTGTGCTGCGCATGCTACAACTTGCAACGCTGTCTGCAACTCAGGTGCATTCATGCCATGAATGCTTTCCACCGTCCGAACAGCCACGTCTTTCTTGACCACGGCTTTCCTCAAGAAGTTCTCAGCTGCCTGCTAGTGGTGATTTACGCGCAAAATTCATCTCTGCATAACAAGGCTCCAGAAATCATCCGCCCGGACTGTTCCACTCCGATCGTCCGGCAGTGACATTGCGAGGCACACAAACACAGGGCTATGAGTGTGTATTGGGAGTCCTGTGTGTTAGCGATGAGTGCATTACACCCGGAGCTACTTCGGAGCGTTTGCTTCGCGTGCTTGGCAATTGGATGCGCAGCCGGAATGTCAGAAGTATGGTCAAGGCAAGGGACGCCAATAATTAACTGCAGGCTCCGGTGAGAACCGAAGTCGCGAGTCATCGGCGATCATGCATTCCCCGACGCAAGCTCAACGCCCAGAACTTTTGAGTTTGGGCAACGGCGAAGTCCGCAGCTTCTTCATCAGGGGCACAATCAGGGTCGTGGCAAAGAGAAGTATAAGCCTCGTGGGCACGAAAGAATTTACGAAGACACTCGTGTAGCCTGAAACCGAGGAGAGCACAAGTCATCTATGGAAGAGTTGACGAAGTGTCTTCCTGCCTCCGCAAAGACAGGATCTCGCAAAGGCTCGGGGCCAGGCCGCCAGGCCACCAGGCCACCAGGCCATGCCAGGCCTTGAGCCAGTTCAGGAGGCAGGTTTTCGTCAAGGCGGCCGCTCCTGACGCTTTGCACAGAAGTCGAAGCGTGGAAGCGTTGCTCTCGCCGCTTTCGCCTGTTGCCACGGCTGCCTTCTGCCCTGAGAAATGTCAGATTCTGATTCTGGAACGAATTGTTTAGCGCAGCAATTTCTGGGCGCTTCACGAAAGCAGAAGGCGGCGAGGAAGGCTAAAGACGACCAGACTGCACGTCGAAGCCATTTCCTCGTGCTCCACCGAAGCCAAAATCCAAAGGTTAAGAAAGGCATTCAGGAAACTCACGACCCCTGCCTGGCAGGTGGTCTGGCCAGCAAGGCGTCATTTGGAACATGGCTTCTGCAGACCAGCCTTGGCGGTTTCGAGACGGTGCTGGGTGACAGGAAACCGAGTGTAAAGCACTTGCGGGGGGCCTCCTGACTATGCATCCACCGCAGGTTGCGGCAGCCAACACCTTCCAGACGCAGGCTCAGATGCACGGAACAAGACCAGAACTGATGGAAGCCAAGGCACTCCGGACGACACGCCCCATTTCGGTGCTTCTGAGGACGTGGGCTGCGGTTGTGCTCCGTGGCCCCAAGGAGGGTGCAGGGGCACCGCCCGGGGCACCGCTGGCACCAGCCCCCGGCCATGGCACCTGCAGAACTTGGCGTAAGCGGCGTAAGCAGGAACGACAGGAACGATTGGAGCTTCCAAGCCTAACGACGGCCGCAGGTCCATGCATGGAGGTCCCGATGGTGCTTGCCCTATCTAATCCATCATGCGCTGATTCTATCCAAGAATGAAACCACTACGTCACTGCATGAACGTCTGCTTGTGATCAGCGGGCTCCGGAAAAGGACGTTCGAAGACCACTGTACCAGTGAGCGAGGACTAGAAGCGGATATTCATTTCTGCGAATTTTGTGAAGCACCCCTCCGAGCCGAAAGAAGCTGACCTGGCGGGTTTGTGGGATCAGACGCGCGCGCTGGCAATGCTCAGAGCCGGTGGTGGGACCTGGCCGTGCCAAAGACGAACCGACCAAGGCGCTGCCTTGAAGCCAAGACCCCGCTGGACCTCAGCTAGGATTGCTACGGCTGCTAGGGTGAAAAAGGAGCAAATCTACAAGATGCCAGGGAAAGGGCAACTGGATCGCTTAGCTGGGCCTTTACCACCTGGTCCGGCTGCGGACAGCGACGGCCAGGTGTCCAAGTCCAAAGTGCAAGCCCGAAACGTCAGCCAAACCGGCACAGCACCGGCAAAGCTGGCCTTGCACGGCTCGGGTAGCTCCCGCCTGCAGGGTCGGACTTTATACTCGTACATGTTAGCGAGAAGGAGGCGCCCGCCAGATGTGGGGCGCCTGAGTTCGGCGAGGGCCAAACAGCCGCCGGCCACGGCGACAGAGCCACCGGCCAAGAGTGGCCTCAGGTCTCCAGGAAACGTCGGACGTCGGCAAGGCTCCACATTCCCGTGGCGGGGGCACGATGCGTGGTGCAGAGAGCTGTGCTGTCATGGCTCTTGGCTCTCGCTAGAAGGCCCAGCTTTGCTCCGCACATTGCTGTTGCGTCATGTGCTCTAGACTCTAGCCTTTTCGCTGTGGTAGCTGTAGCTGCTAGCTGTGCTGCGGGCGTCAAATGCTCATGCGACACACTGTGAAGCACCAGCCGATGAGCAATGTCAACAGCTCCAGCTTAGTCGCGTAGCCATATGCAAGCTTGGAAGATGGAGAAACAAATGGAGAAGCAGCTTTTTCAGTGTTTCTTGCCCAGCGCGGCATTGCTGCGAGCGCTCGCAAGCTGCGGGATGCGGAAGATCTTCACCAATACTCTGGCTTGCCATCCTGCACATGTCTCCCATCATGCAGTTTCAAACATTGCCGAGACAAGTCGCTCATCAACTACTTTAAGGTGCTCGCATACACGATGCCGAAACAGGACCGTTCACCAACAAATGCTGCAGCAAACCTCCTCGCGCTCGGGCATGAACTCCAACCCAACTGTCTTGAGGCCAGCCTGCATTGTGCAACGCGGGGCCTTCGATAAATTGCCTAGTAACCTAGTTGCCCTGGAACGAAGGTGGCGTGCCTTGGTGTTCTCGGCAAAGTATTCGGGGTGCGTCTGCTCTGTGATTTCCGGCGCGGTCCACCCCATCTGCAGCGTGCAACAGCAATCCGTTGCACAACGCTTGAAAGAAACCCCGATAAGCCTTCCGCAAGCGCTCAGAGAACCAGTTCAGCCGCTTTGCATTGAGCAGGCTGTCTGGTGGAGTTTGCACGTTGCCGAGCCTAGTCAACCCAACAAGCTTCGTCTGTTCACTCCGCCATGCCGAACTTCTGACCATGTCGAGGCACGCATCTGGCGCCATGGAACGCAAGGCAGAGCGAACTTGGACATCGCCGTTCTCCATCACAGCAAATTCAACGTCAGAAATCAGTCCTCCGACACCAGAGAGGCCAGGACGGGAGTGTAACGACAGCGCATGCATAGTGGAGTCCAAGGGTCCAATAAAGCTCGCGAATTGCCTCAACAATTACCAACTTGAAAGCTTCAAATACTCTTCGGATGAGCTCAACGGATTGTAAGACATCAGCAAGCCACTGAGAAATACATCGCTCAAGCAGATGCACGCCGAGGTTCCCATATAAATAAGTCGGAAAAGTTTGCAAAAGCCGGAATCCTCCAGCATCAACTCCTTAGACAAAGGGCATTGCAAACGTCCGCGACGCAACGACGATCCACGACAACGAACATGATGCTCCTTTTTTTGTTCCTTCTTGCTCTGGAAGCGGCCATCATGGCCAGGTGGGTACGACTCGATCAGCTGGATGAGCTGCTTAGTTGCCTAAACCGTCCCGGAATGACGTCCGTGCCCTCTTGCCCCACCTTGCCACCCACCTCTTCAGGCGACACTCCAGCTGGAATCTTCCAGGGTTCCAACTTTGTCTGGATCTTCCTCGCCGAGCATCAAAAGCTTGTGGTCTGCATCATATCAGCACTGAGTTTTCGTAACACTGCCGAGCTGCTTCTCTCTGAAGAAATCCTCCGTGGTGGAAAAACATCTCGGAATCACCTTCTGACAAGATTCGCTTTCACTGCTGGCAGGCTGTATAAGCTTCACTTGAAAGGCTTCCAATAATACTCAACCAAAGATGCGTGACTCCCCGTTGCCGCTTCCCAGCAACCAAACACAGGTCAAGGCAACACAACCACCATGTACTGTGGCGGATTGTTGTGGTGGTGGTGGTGGTCGTCGCGGTCGCGGTCGCGGTCGCGGTCGCAGTCGCGGTCGTGGTCGTGGTCGTAGTCGTGGTCGTCGTGGTGGTCGTGGTCGTGGTGGTCGTGGTCGTGGTGGTCGCGGTCGTGGTGGTCGTGGTCGTGGTGGTGGTGGTCGTGGGGGTGGTCGTAGTGGTGGTCGTGGTGGTGGTGGTGGCGCCGGCGGCGTCGGAGGTGGTGGTGGTGCTGCTGCTGCTCCGGCGGTGCCGGTGGCGGCTGCTGCAACTTGCTTGGTTGAACACATTGGTCATGCTCATGGCACAGCTGTACGTGCCAAACGGTAAGCCTGAACATCGGGACATCAGTGAAAGTCTGGTGAAAGTTACCTACCCCACGTCACCCCACGACAACTAAACATGAGACATGCAACTGGCAGCTGCAGCACATGCTTGCAGCCATCAAGCCTGCTCTTGACATGACCGAAGGACGGGGCCGTCGGACTTTCTGCCCTTCCTGTCCAATTTCCTGCGCGATTTCTGTTTAGCATACAATCTGGACAACTGGTTCTAACCCCGGCTTGGAGACAACAACCCTCGGTCCCCGCGCCTCACTTGCAAACCGATGTTGGGCTTCAGGCCGAAATTCCTCGCAGGTTTCAATTTGGAAAGATATCTCACATCGCCTGCTGGCGCACAAGCAGTTACAACATGACAAGACATACAAGTGGCACGACACAATATCTGCAGATACTGATAGACGAGCTGGCCCCTTTCGTCACTCCTGATTTTCGGACACGGCTGCGAGATGCTGCGACAGCGTTTCTCATCCGGCGCAGACAACTGAAAACGAACACACTTTCTCGGTCGGGTTTGGCGCTC